GGGTCAAGAGATTCCCAGGAAAAGACCCTTGGGTGGAGGGGGAACTCAATAGGATGCCTGAGGAGCAGAAGCATAGCTCCTGCCACATGGCCTGGTACTATCCCAGTTGACCTGCCCCAGCTCCCCTCACGGCTGACTTTGCCCTGCCTCTTGCTCCTCTTAGTGGCCTGACAACATCAGGATGAATGTGTCAGCTTCCATGATCCTGTATCCCAGAAAACCCAGATCTTCTCTGAGGTGTGGTCTCTGCAGAAAACAGTATTAATGGTCTCTAGTACCTGAAAAATGTCAATGCTTCTATAGCCAGTGCACATGACCATTGAGCCCATTGAGCCACCTCTTTCTAACTTATACCAAAGAACCAATATGCATTCGGCAGCCCAGAGGGGATTCAGACCTGTATATAACATCCTGCTTCACAAACAGGGATTCACTCTTGGACTCTAGGTTAAGAAGTCCTAAACTATCAAATCAATCCCTTTCTCTTACTATTGACTGCTTGTATCTGAACCACACTTAAGGTGTCTAAGCAAAACACCTTTTTCTGCAGTTGTTTCAGAACATCTATTTGACACCCTGCCCAGCTCCAGGGGCCAGCCTGGTGGGTAAGAAGCTCACCTTGGTTAAGTAAGAAGCGCAACCAGATGATCAACAAGAACAGCAGCAAACCCACGGGCAGGCAGAGCCAGAACACCAGAAAAGAGAATGTGAGGTTATTCACCAGGGGCACCAGAGGGTACTTCATGGTGCATGAGAGTCTATGCTGGCCAGCCTGGGGGGCTGGCAGGGCTGCCCCTGGGACCTGGCAGGTTGGGGCCATGCTGTGCTCAATCCAATTGTGACTGAGCGGTGATGTAACAAGGAAGTCACAGTGTCCTTTAGGCTGAGCCTTCGGGGAAGAAGCCCTGAGGGAGGGCTGGTTTGGCAGCCTGGTGGGAACTGGGACAGTGAGACAGTCTGGCTGAGAAGAGAAGCCTGCCTTCCAGGCCTGCAGGCTGGGTTGAATCTCAGTTTGGCAGCTACCGGGTCCATGTGACAACTCTCTGATCCTTTTTTTATTAGATGGGAGTGAATAATTCTAAGTTAGAAAACTAGATGATGTGACAAAAACCAGCCACAGGTGGGTGTTCACATATCTGGAGGTACAGATCCCATCAGGATCCAGCCAGGTCCCCAGGTCCCATCTTCCAACTGCACATGCACACACCCACACTGAGGGCATGGGGGATGGTGGCAGATTGAGGGAGCTTAATGCCTTGTGCGGCAAACAGCTGTAGGCGCTCCAGCCAATCACTACTAAATGGGAAATGCAGGCCCAGCATTTCCCTTTTCCATGAAAACAACAAGACTATATTTTATGTGAAATCTCCCAAATTTAAAATGTTGGATCAACCTCGTTAAAACCTCGACTAAAGAAAATCTGTCAAGCTGGATTAGGTCACTGGGATGCCATTTAAAAACTTTAGCCCCTGAATAAAGGGGATTTATGTGGAAGCTTTTGCACTTGTCCCTGTTAGAGTTTTCAGGGAGACTTCTAAGGCTTGTTCCCTTATCTCTCAAGTGGGCAGAACACTCTTAGGTGCCCTTCTTATCTTCTCCCGCTTCTTTGTTGTTTATCTATTTGTGAAGTATTTAATAAATCTGACTGTGGCAGAAGTAGGCGCTGGGCTTCCCAGGACTCATCAGCCCCCAGGATAGGGGGAGGGACTGTGGATAGATTGGCAGCCTGGGCAGAAGGTCTGAGACATGGGACAGTCCATTCAGAATTGGCTGGTGTGTAGTCCTCTTCAAGAGGGTCCACGGAGCACCCACTCAGTCACTGCCAGCATGGAAGGTACTTATTAAACACACCAATTCCTAGGTGCAAATCTCCCACTGAGTCTGAACTTGGTATCAACACACCAAGCCCAGAGTGATCCTGAGTCAGACTTGGAGACCACAGCATTCCATGGCTCAAGAGCAGAGGTTTGAAAGTCAGGCAGAGTCATTTGAGGCTGGGAAGTGGGACACAGACATATGGAGTGACATGGGGGAGATGTGGAAGAAGATGCCAGTCCAGAAAGAAAGGAAACCAGTCCAGCCATAGGGAAAAAAATAGAGCAGGGGAGGGGAGAGATGGTGCTTGGAGGGCCAATGGTTTAGAGGGAGCTCAGCCTTACTGTGGGATGACAATTCCCCAAAAGAGGTCTGAGAAAATGGTATTTGAACATGCATCCAAGAGCAGAGCCCAGATAGGCTGTGCCTGGATGCAAGGTCAGAAGCAGGGTGGTCGGGGCTGGGGTGATTCTAGGCCCACACCTCTAAAGAGGGTGGGTCAGAGAGCTGAGCAGCCAAGTTCGAAGGGACTTAACACAGGTCTGGCTATGAAATCTTCCCAGACACCAAAATAGGGGCCACTGTATAGTCAGCTTTCCTGGCTACCAATTCAGACAGAAGTCCTGTGGTAGGAGGGCAGAGCAGGGCAGCTTGGGGAATCTGTGCTATTGGGGCAGCTATGGCCAGAGGAATGTACCATAAGCCTCTAATGGTGAGATCTAGACAATGAGGCGCTAATCTGACCTCACGGAGCCCTGCAGCCAACCCTGTGTGAAGGGGAAATGGGGGCAGGGGAAGACCATCTGTGTCTTCCCTGTTTCCAGATTGCCCAGCCCTTACAGAGCTCAGATTTTTCTGCAAGTAGAATATCCCAGGACGGAGAGTCATCCACCTTCAGCAAATCCTGGCCTCTCAGCAATAGAAGACACTTCCATCATAGACAGCCAAGTGCTTTTCTTTTAAAACTAATCTGAGTCATTCACAAAACTCTACTTAAACCAAGGTTGAAAGTCCACACATCTAAATTATGAAGGGCCATCAAAGACAAGCAGACCCCCTGGAAAGAGTAAAATTACGCAAGACCCCAGCCTGTAACCAAAAGCACACACAGTTATTAGATAAGAATCTCCTTAAAATTTAATTAACTAAATGTATTACATTCAGTATTCCATGGATTTCTTCTGGACAAAGATCGGCATAAATAAAACAGACCTCTAGACCTTCTTCCCTAGCTGACGAAGATCAAACACAGGAGGCGAGGGGACACAGGTACACCTTTATATTTACATCTCGCCTTTACTTTACAGTTCAGTGCCAGAAGTATTTACAGAAAATACAATAAGAAAAAGATCATGTCTTGGCAACATACCGAAATTCATACAAATCGTATATATGGTTTCAAGCAAATAATGATACTGCTTAGTTTTTAGCCACGACTGCCAAGCCCTTCAGAAAAAGATGTCTTGGTCACTGCAGGAGACAAGGACTTGGGAAACTTGGTTTGCTTCAACAAATATTTATTGGGCGCCTACTATATGCAAGGCACTGTGGAATCCCGAATTACACCTTTTTCCCTCACCATTAAAAAAATGAAAAGTGTCTGAAGAATAAGGGTCAATATTCTAAGAAGAACACCACACAGTGCATGGCTTTGTTAGCTGCTGAGAGACCATGGTCTGACTCCACACCATCCAAAGGATCCCTCCAATCTCTCCACCTCAGGAAGAGGATGTCGGGAGCCCTGAAGCAGACCAGCTGGCTCCAATATCAGTTTGTGTAAACATACACATCAATCTTTTTAGGAAGCTATAATCTGAATGGGTCTTACAATGCTGAATGAGAATTATCACCAGCAGGAGTGTCCAGTATTTATGTCAACATCTACCAAAAAACAGGTCTTTGCAAAAGACCGACTCTCGCTTTGGGTGAAGCTCTACTTTTCAACAGAAATAAATACTCTCAAAGACTGTCTCTAGAAATCAGTCTGGAGAGCCTGACAAATGCTTCCCCAGCACATGTAGGAAGGAACTGTTTATGAACACCTTGCGCACACAACCGGTGGGCAACTGACATTACTGGCCAAAGGCATAGGTATTTTGTATACATAAATGAGAGCAGAGAAGGACTGTCTTGAAAAAGAGGACCTGGAAGCCAAGGAAAGCACGAGTGTGTGTGTGTGGCTAGGGAGGGGAACAGCTCCTGCCTTGTATTATTCCAAAGGACAGGAGAGGGTCTTAGGAGGAAGCCCTAAATGAAAGGGAGAGGTGGCTAGACATGGAAAGGGTTAGAAAGGTAAGAGCCCTCCTTTGTCCTTAATGCTCCCAAAGAGAAGCAAAGCCCCCACCTTCCTGAAACTTCAGAAGGGAGCATGAGGAATGACTCACCTGTCTCTTGGGCAGTGCTTTCTTCTTCCCAGAATGCCACATGCATCCACCCCCAGCACATACAGCCAAATTGGACTACTAAAGATTATTACCAGGTATTAAATATGTTCCTCTGGCAATATTCTACTCAAAGTGATTTTTTTGGGGGGGGTACCAGGGATTGAACTCAGGGGCACTCGACTACTGAGCCACACACATCCCCAGCCCTATTTTGTACTTTAGAGACAGGATCTCACTGAGTTGCTTAGTACCTCACCTTTGCCAAGGCTGGCTTTGAACTCGTGATTCTCCTGTCTCAACCTCCCAAATTGCTGAGATTACGGTATGCATCACCACGCCCAGCTCAAAGTGATTTTTAATACAGGCAATTGGGTGACCTTAGTGACCATGAATCCCAAGTCATACTAGTGAAAGGTCCAAGGGTTCATACCACACTCCCTTTTTAGACAGATGAAATTTTGAGCAGAAGGAACCAGCACTTGGTGAGGTACGTGGATCAGACAGTATGTTGGCTCTGTATATCCCGGTGGGGGGAAGGTCGAAACTCCTTCCCTGGGGACCACCAAGTCTCCCAGACTGCAAAAGTATTCACTTGCCAAAGTCATTAGAATTCTAAAAAGTTGCCAGAAACTAGAGCTATCTAAAGAATCGGCAAGTCCATCCTCAACACACACATACTGTATATTGTTCTGACATTTAAACTATTGACAAAAGTAAAAGATTTATCTGAAGAATCACACTGAGGAAGTACATCAACATCAGTTATTTTTAACCTCTGGAATGTTCTAAGTTACACACTCATTTATGGCCTTCTTTGTTTACTTCAACCAGAACAAGGGATCATTTTCCCATGAAATATCAATCTGATATTTCCTTTAAAGTTATTAAGCCTTACCTTATTCTTGCTGAGCTACTAAATCATTTTTAGAGTATAAATCACTAAATCTTTATCACACATTCCTCCCTTCCTCCCATACCATCTGGAAACATCAACTTATTGCCCAGCTCAAAAAGAAAACCAATTATTAAATAATATTATACCCTGAATAGAAACTAGAGTAATAGAAGGAGGAGGGGAAGGTTAACTTTACCTGAGCTTACAAAAAGGAAGAAAAGGGTGTGGCCAACTTATGACCAAGAGCTGCTATGCCCACATTTCTTGCTCAGAGGTGGCAAAATGCATACTTCTGGGATAGTTGTCTGGCAAGGAATTAGGTCCTACACTACCCCTGACCCTCTAAGAAAATGACTGAAACACCAAGCCAGACAGGCCAGTGTAGCCCTGACCTACAGAACCTAATAACATTAGAGTGCAAGTGGAAAAATATCCTTGAACAACTCTGATCACTATTCTTTGTACTTCAAATGTCACTTATTTTTCTTCATACAAAATAATCTTGCTAAAGAAGAAAGCACACACAAAAAAAGGAGAAATGAATGGTATATACTATAGCACTATAACAGGAATCCTTGTAAGGATGGTCTGCATCTGGGTTTGGCCACCTCCAAAGTTTTATCCCTGGCAGAAAAGTAGCAGCGAGGTAACAGAAATATTTCCAAAACTCTGGCAGGGATTTGCTGGGCCTTTAGCTGCAAAGTCCTGACAGCAAGACAGCCATTTTTAACAGCATCTGCCCAAGGAGGTAGCCACTAACATTTGCCAATCATGATGTAATCCACGAGCTTTCCAGAAAAGATCTGAAGTAGTAGCATTGAGAGGCTACTTCCTGAACCCCAAATGAGAATCCTTCATCAACTATTACAGTTTGCTGCTTGGTCCTGAAATAAGAGATAATGGATGAAACTAAATAATTTTCAACCCTGTTGTGAATTTATATTTCTTGATATGTAATCAAGAATCACAAATATTTAAGCTGTTATTTTGTTGCCAAGATGGAGACAAATAATGGAGAGTAGAGGCATCACTGCTGTCTGACAGCTTTGAAACCCCACAAACTTCTTTAGTATCTCCATTAGAGGACAAGGCTGAGCCTCCATTGTAATCTGTCCACTCAGGAACTGAGGCCTTCAGAGAGATCTGAGTAGTGATGAGCATGGCAGCTTGTTTAAATATGGAGAGAAAATATGGAATATGTTAATGTCAGACTTCTGAGCCAAAGACATTTATGTTCTTTTCTTTTTGTCAGTTTGACAGTTGGATGACAAATGGACCTACAAGTGAGCAGAAGGCTGAGACTCCTTTCCTTCTCCTCCATTCTGTCAGCACAAGCCTGTAAGTATCCTGGAAGATTGTGAGACAGATTTTGATTTTGAATACAACCTCCTAAAAAGTGAGGTATAAAACTATCTTCAATTTCTAATTTGCAAATTTGTTGATACTACCAATACATGTGTTTAACTGAGATGCATTAAAAACCTTTCTCCTCAAAAGGCTTATATTTAACTAAAATTGTCACTTTTAAAAGAAAGTTTATGGCTAAAATGTTTATCGTCATTACCAGCAGGAATATGATTGTGTCTGGGAGCCCATTTCACTAGAAAGCCAAAAGTCTTCTATCCAATGGGTTTACAATGTGTTTCTTCTATTCCGGTGATTAAACAGCAAACTCTTGGGGAGTGATTTGTTTATTTTTACAGTGATCACCTATCAAACTGTCTTGCTTTGATATTACAGTCCCCACACTGGAGTTCAACTGTCCTAGACAGACAGTGGTCTAAGAACTGCAGCTCTTGAGTCCAACCTCCTGGAAAAGTGAAGTATAAAACTCTGGCTCCAACTGCTTGTTACGGTACTTGTTGACGATGTCGGTGATTTTCTGTTTCCGACGGACATGTGGTGGGCTGTAGGAGTCACTTTCCAGTCTCTTTCTTCTACAAATGTTTATTACAGTCTGCCTCACCAGAAAGCCTTGAAAACAGAGGGTAAAATAATTGTCAACAGCCAGTCGTCAGGTGACCTCTCAGAGGACCTGTCCCTCCTCCTCACTACCTCATTCCATTCGCATAACTTCCCATCCCAGAGAGACTGGCACAGCACTAAGAACAAATCAGCACAAGAATGACAATGAGGAGGGAACGCAGAATCAAAATCTGGTTTGACAATCCATTTCCTGCCCTGGCTTGCAAACAGATATCTTCCTTGATTAATATTCAAAGTTTGTGAAGTCCCATTTGCACTTACTAAAGACAGTTTAAAACAGAACAAAACGTGCTTCCTTTTTAACAAGAACAGTAGCATTTTCTACATATAGACTCTAGAAAGTAATAGTATCTTTTCTTTATTTTTACTACTTTTTGGTTTATAAAAGTGTTAAAAGATCTGGGTGTGATGGTGCATACTTGTAATCCCAGCGGCTCTGGAGGCTGAGACAGGAGAATTGAGAGTTCAAAGCCAGCCTTAGCAATGGTAAGGCCCTAAGCAACTCAGCGAGACCTTGTCTCTAAATAAAATACAAAATAGGGCTGCAGATGTGGCTCAGTGGTTGAGTGCCTCTGACTTCACTCCCCAGTACCAAAAAAAGTTTTAAAAGAACGAAGGAAAGAAACCTCAGTCCTTCAGCGCACATGAAGACCTTACCGAGTGCTCGCCGGCTGACTATCATCCCATCCACAAGAGGGATGACCATGTTAAATTTTCCAGTGGCTCCTTGGATTTTTATCCGGAACAATCCAGTGTTTAAAGGGTGTATGAAGATAACTGGAACTTCTTTTTCAAGATTTGTAGATCTAAAGAAAAGAAAAGTCTTTTCAGCTCAGACACATAAGAACTAAAGTCCCCCATATGTAGCATCAGAACAGCCCGCATCTCCTATGTTGTTGCTGACAATCCTCTTTCTGGGAGGCCATGTTGCTGTATCCATAACACTTAGCTCTAAGTGCTCATTTCTGGAGTCAGGCTTTTTATGTCAACAAAGGTTGAGAAGAATGCTTAGAAAACCACTGGGGAGACAAGATAGAAAAGCCAAGAATCTATTGTAGGAAGCTGCGAATCCAGCAGCAAGCTATGGGACTTCTACTTAGCTCTCCCTTTTGTACGGAACATAATGTACTTGCCAGAGTGCAGGGAATTCCAGCACAGTGGAGGATATACCTCAGAGCAAATGAGAAACAGCTGAAGCTCAGTGTGGAAATTCTGGAAGTCAAGAGAAGAGGTTGGGAGGGTCATCAGTTTGAACTGGCGGCAAGTGGCCTCTTCAGCTGAAGTGATAAATGGCCACATCTTGGCAGGGCCAAAGCTGTTAGAGCCACTAACTGACTGGCAGATGCTAAGGTCAGCAACTGCACCTCTGAACGAGTGAGTCACATATCACACATCATGGATTGGCCAACCCATCTGGAGGTACTCATGTTATTATGTGATGCTCTAAGCTGGGGGCTTTTTTCTTTATAACACATTTTCTTTCTATAGAGGCAAAGTGAGTTTAGCAAAAGAAATACTGAGTTAATTTTTCAAGACATTTAAAAAATAATAAATCCTAGAGTAATTCTGTCCCCAAGCTGAATTCTAAACTTTGCTAATCTACCAATAAAATACAAATTTTACAGCCATATCTTATTACAACTTTTTTTTTGAGAGAGAGAGAGAGAGAGAGAGAATTTTTTTAATATTTATTTTTTTTTTTAGTTTTCGGCAGACACAACATCTTTGTTTGTATGTGGTGCTGAGGATCGAACCCAGGCCACACGCATGCCAGGCAAGCGCGCTACTGCCCGAGCCACATCCCCAGCCCCTTATTACAACTTTTGACGTAAAAAGATTAAAACCACAAAACAGTGTAAGTCAGTTAAAGGTCTATTTCCAACTAGCTATAGAAATGCCATCCTTATGACAACTATCCCATAGTCTCTTCAGCAAGTCACCATCATGAAGCATAAAAAGGAAGTTGTTTTAGAGTAAAAGAGATGGAAGGAGTTAACACCAGATGCATAGTCGTGGAATGAATTCTGAATTGAATAAACCAGTTGTAAAGAAATTTTTAGGGAATGTGGAGAAATGTGAGTATTATTAACTTTATTATTGGGATAATGTTATCATTAGCTATCTGAAAAATGTTCTTAAGGAATACATACTGATATATTTAGAATGTTATGAAATCTGTAATTTGTTTAAGATTACTTCAACATGAAAAATATGAAACTTAAGAATGACTTCCTTTTTTAGAAAAAAAAATTAAATGATAGTGTTAAAATAAACTACTTGGGAAGGTGAGAGAGGATTGCCAAGTTAGAGACCAGAACAAGCAACTGTCTCATTGGGACCCTGTCTCAAAAAAAAAAAAAAAAAAGGGGGGGGTTGGGGATGTAGTTCAAGCATAGAGTACCCCTGGGTTTAATTCCCAGTACCACAAACAAATGAACAAACACCATCTCTACAAGTTTTCTTCAATAATAATCTAACAATGTTAGAATAAGTTCATCTTACATGCAATTAGTATCAGATGATGTAAACAGAAGGAACTGAAGTTAAAATACTAAGTTTGGGGACAGCTCTGTGATGTTGAGATGAGATTAGCAACTGAGGGAAAAGGCCTGGGTTTGGATCCCTTCTTCTGCATTTACTGAGTGCATAGGGCTGAGGAATAAACCTCTATGGGCATATTTTATCCTACTGGTAAAACAGGAATGATAATTATAACTTGGAGTTGTAAACCAAAAACCAACAAGCAAAATGTCTTGAAAATTATAAAGATCAAACAATACGTTATTATCTTAGAATCATATTCTGTTCTTATTCTTTTTGTAAATGGGCAGGTAAAACAGAAATTTTAACATAATAACAAAATTTTTTTTTTTAAATATTTATTTTTTAGTTTTCAGCGGACACAACATCTTTGTTTGCATGTGGTGCTGAGGATCGAACCCGGGCCACACGCATCCCAGGCGAGTGCGCTACCGCTTGAGCCACATCCCCAGCCCCCATAATAACAAAATTAATATTACATTTTACTTCAAAATACTTTCCCGTTAAATAGCTCATTAGATTAGGATATTTTAACTGCTATTATCCAGAATGATTATTTTTCCAATTTAACTCCATCATTTCTGTCTTAATTATTAACAGAGTCTTCATTAATGCTTTAAGAATTTAACCTTTATTTTATTTATTTGTTTTTAAGCGGTGCTGAGGATCAAACCCAAGTCCTCAACCATGCTGGGCAAGTGCTCTATAACCCCAGCCCCTTCATTAATACTTAATTGCTGCCTCTTCTCCATTTTTCCTTTTACCACAGGCAAATGTAAAACAGGAATTAATTATATTATTTAAAAATTCAGTGCTCAACATCACTGATTATCAGGGAAACTCAAATTAAAACCACAATCAAATATCACTTCACACCAGTTAGAATGACCATTTAAAAGAACAAATAAACAAGGCTAAGTGTGGTGATGATATAGGGAATAAGGAATCCGTGTACACTATTAATGGGAATGTAAATTAATGCAGCCACTATGGAAATCATTAAGGCAATTCCTCAAAAAATTAAAAAAAAACCAGAACTACCATGTGAAACAGTAATCCTGCTTCTGGATATATAAGAGGACCTCAAAGCGGTTTATTTGCACTTGCATGTTCACTGCAGCATTATTCACAACAGCCAAGACATGGAAGCACCTTGGATGTCCCAAGAGATGAATGGATTAAGAATATACCACATATATATACAACAGAATATTTTTCAGCTTTAAAAAGAAGGAAATTCTGCCAGTTATAGTAACATGGATGAATCTGGAGAACATTATGCCAAGTGAAATAAACCAGCCAATCAAAAGACAAATTTTACATGACACCACTTACATGATGAATCTAAAATAATCAAATCAATGAAAGCAGAGAGTAGAATGGGGATGGAGAGAGAGAGAACAGGGATATTAATGAAATGGTAAAACGTTTCCATCATGCAGGATAAATAAGTCCTAGAAATCAACTGTATAATACAGTGGCTAAAGTTAACTATACTGAATTGTTTACTTAAATTTTTGCTTAATGGGTAGGTCTTATGTTAAGTGTTCTTATCACAAAACAATAACAACAATTATAATAAATAAAAAGGCAGGAGAAAACTTTTGAAGATGATGGATGCTTACAGCATAGACTGTGATGATGGTTTCATTCATACTTATCTCCAAGCTCATTAAATAAAACAAATTTAAAATGTGTACAACTTTTTATGTATCATTCATACCTCAATAAAGTGTTTTTTAAAAATTCTCACAAATTTGATAACCTTGTGCATGTATGTACAAACTTTTGATTCTTTATTTTTATTTTTTGCCTTTAATCTTTTTGTTTTATAATTCCTTCTTTATTAAGCTACAACTGACATAAAAACAGACATGCTGATAAGCTTCAAGCAAATGAAAAAAAAAATGTACCTCAGAGAAGTGCTACTATTTGCAGTAGTTTCCACACCAGTACTGATCTCTGTCATCAAATCTGAAAGGGGAAAATTTTCTGCAAAGAAATAATAACATTAAAATTAATATCCCTCTCATTTTCCCCAAACAATAAGAAATCCAATTTTCTAATCTCTTTACATAGGCAGACAACAAATATACAGACCATGCTCTCCTATGTAATCCTAATGATTCCCCTGGATGGAAAAAAAAAAAAAAACCCTCCCTCAAGAAATACTTTAGTTAAGTTCATCTAAAGTGAAGGATTTTCAGAACATGATCCATGGTCTGTGAGGGTTTGGCTGGAAAGCAACTATTGTAGTTTCCCACAAACTCTGGGATTCTAAGGTAAGTATGCATTTCTAACGCTCTCATGTTGCTTACATAAAAACCACAAAAAAAAAACATCCATAGTAGGACACTTAAAGACAAATTAACCTTTATATTAAAACTAGACAGAGCACATGGAAATATTGTGTATGAAATCCTTCCCCTTCCCTTCTCCAGAGGTCCTGGGAAGATTGGGACATTAACTCTGATACCAATAGAAATAGTTAAAAGTTTTCTATCAACTAGTCTCATAGAATCTTTACAACTGTGAAATAAGTGGCATGATTATCTCCATTTTACAGATGAACAATCTCAAAGTTAATGCAGTGGAGTTAAAGCAGTGGAGATGAGACACAAACCAGGCTTGCTGGATTCTAATCCCTGCTCTTGGCCACTACAACATGCCTCTGCTCCCACTTCCTTCAGACATTTGGCAGGTCACTGTCATTCTGTTATTTTATTTATGGACAACATCCTTATACAATACCTATATCATCATAGCGTTCTACCCAGACCACAGAAACTCTTGTCTCAGGTCCAAGAGGAGGCACAGGGCGACCCTGAGGCAGCTTCTTCATTCTGGAACTGGGACTGAGCTATATGAAGAAGAGGAGAGAAAAAGTGCAGACTTCATAAAACTACCCAGTCGTACATTTATGTAAGATATTCAGCTTACAATGTAAGTATCAAGTCATGAAATCACTTCAGGAAAAAAAATGCAAAATACATTTGCCAGAAAACACTTCTTTGGCTTCTTCTTCTTCTTCTTTTTTTTTTTTAATCAGTCTTAACCTAGAAAGAGGAAATGAAGTCCTGAAATTGTCAAAGGAAAAGAGACAAGGAATACTGAACAATTTTAGTTTGCATACCTACCTTATTGCTAATTTTGCTATGTTTTAAAGGGGGCTTAAAGGGATCTGAGTCTATATTATAACCAGAAAAAGGATGCTTTCTCCATCAGAGCAGTATCACTACTTTGCCTGGAAACACTAAAATGTCTCATATCAGCAAGTTATTCCTAGTTTTCAGACCAGATGTTTCCTAGCAATTTAGGCCTAATCCTTTTCCTTATCGGCAAAAAGAATTCTTGGGATTTTCCTATCAAGAACAATGTGCTCTGGCTTTCCTGCCACCCAGCTGGCTTCACATTTCTCTCCAAGGCTAATAGGACTATGGGGCTCTCCCTTGGCAAACTGGCATTCTGAGCTAACCCACTGTTAGGGCATGCAGCAAGCTGGTTGTGCTAAAGCCCTATACCAAGTCCATATATAGAAAAGGGAAATCCCATACGTAAGTGAAATTTTAAAATTTAAACTGTTTCATTAGCACAGAAATATGTCTTCACCAAATGGCCAGAGTTCATGGCAAGCCCCCCAGATTTGTGCTTCTACTCTGCATTCACAGAAAATGACTGTTCCAAGATTTCTCCCAAACCAATCCAGCACATTCAGGGACTATTTTCTTAGCAGCATGGCATTTAATTTTCTTTAACTTTAATTTTCTCCATTTCTGATCTCTAACCCTAGATATAAAGGGCTCCTGAGAGGTCAGGTCTGTGTGGGTCATCTCCCATTTGGCTAACTCAAAATAACCTTAATTATACCCACAAAATCCCTTTGCCAAGTAATGCAGCTCGATTATGGGATATCCCATCATATTCACAGGTTCCACTACACATAAGGGCAGGGCATTCTACAAGGGCAATGGTCACTTGAGGTCATCTTAAAATCTTCCCCAACACACTACACTCATTCAATAGTTCTAACAGATGCAAAAAATACATTCTTTGGCTGGAGTTGTGGTTTCAGAGGTAGAGTGCTCACCTAGCATGAGTGAGGTACTGGGTTCAATCCTTAGCACCACATAAAGTAAAATAAAGACATTGTGTCCACCTATAACTAAAAAATAAATATTTTTTAAAAATAGATTCTTTTAACACTTTCTACATACATGATCATGTCATCTGCAGTACATGTAGTTTCACTTCTTGTTTTCCAATTTTTATGCATTTTATTTCTTTTTCTAGACTTATTTCTCTGTATAAGACCCTTAAACAGAAATCATAGGAACTTGCCTTACCTGTCCTTCATCTCAGGGGGAAAAGCATTCAAGGATAATGTACAATGTGTTAAGTATAATGTTAGCTGTAGGTTCTTAGTCAATGCTCCGTATCAGGTTAAGGAAGCTTGCTTCTATTAATTGTTCGCTGAGAATTTTTCTCATAAATGGGTGATACTGTTTTGTTAGCTGCTTTTCTGTGTTTATTGAAATAACCATTTGATTTTCCTTTTTTGAGTTTGTAAGTAGTCTACAGTGTAAATGGTAAGTAAACACATGGTGCTTTAAGAGTCATCATTCTCTGGTTTTGAAGGCTGAACTGCAATGGCATTCAGAAAATGAGTACTCCAGCAGCTAACCTTGACATTTGCTCTGGCTGCCACACTTTACTACCACTTGATCCTCTCAAAATTGTACTCAGGAAAACTTTAAAACTCTGGATATGCAAAATCAAGACTGGTACCTCAGGGAGTCTAGTATATAACTTGATGGTTTTTCCTAAATCAATTTTAAAGGTAGGACCCCTCCCATATTCCTTTTAAAACAGATGCCTATGTTGACAATCTTCACCATGGAAGGAGCCAAACTAAAATCCTGTAAAATTGCAGAATAACTTCAGTCAAGTTTATACTTCTTTCATCTTTTAAATTACTTGTTCTAAATTAATCTTCCTGTACTCATGATCTGGTCCTATACTCTTGCTACCACTTACTTGGTCATTTTTCAGTAAAAATTAATAAGAGATTACATGAGGGAAAATATAGATAAGGAAATAACATCTGTTGGAAAAGAAAGAAAAAGTATAAAACAAAAACTTTTTTTCTTTTAGCAGGGGCTGTTGTACCACACACAGTGTATTTATTCACATACTGCAATCTCCCCTTGTCTACAGGGGATATGTTCAAAACCTCCCTAGCCAGTGGATGCCTGAAACCAGTTAGTACTGATTGCTACATATACTATGTTTTTCCTATACACTCATAACTATGATAAAGTTCAGTTTATAAATTAGGATACTGAGTTATTAACAATAACTAATAATAAAATAGAATAATTATAATAATATATTATAATAAAATCTGTATAAATATATTCTCTCTCTCACAAGATAACATTATATTATATCCATATCCTTCTTTCTGTGATGATGTAAGATGATATAGTACCAACATGATGAGAGGAACAAAAGTAGTATGATGTAGCATTAAGTTCCTTTGTAAGAGTTACTTGAACACAAGCATTGCAATGCCCCAATGCCATGACCAAGAATACTAACAGGTAGCATATGCAGTGTAGATACGCTGTCCAAAAGGATGGGTCACCTCCTGTGCAGGATAAAGTAGGACCACATGAGAAATCACCAAGCTATACAGAATAGTGTATAATTTAAAACTTATGAATGATTTATTTTTAGAACTTTCCATTTAATATTTTGGAACTTGGTTGAACATGGCTGACAAATTGGTAGAAAGTGAAATAGCAGGGGCTGAGGTTTTGGCTCAGTGGTAGAGCACTTGCCTGGAATGTGTGGGGCACTGGGTTCAATCCTCAGCACCACCTAAAAATGAATACAAGTACTGTGTCCATCTACAACTAAAAAAAGTATTTTTAAAAAAGTGAGATAGCAGATAAGCAGGACTGCTATACTAAGTTATTCTCCAAAGTGTTGCCATTTTTATATAGTCACACTTTTTTTAATTAATGCATTATAGTTACAAATAATAGTTGGGCTTATTTTGATAAAAATCAAAATTAGATTTACTCCATTTCAATCCAAAGTATCTTCCCCTTTCCCGCCTCTCCTCCTCCCTCCCCCCATTCTCTTTCCTCTATTTTTCTGGTCTTCCTTTCACTTGTTTACTTGTCTATTTTGAATGGTGCTTTATGTATACACATAAAGGTGAAATTCACTGTATTTATACATGAAAGTAGCATAATTTTGTCAAATTCATTCCACATTTTCTCTCCTCTCCCTTTCAATTTCCTTCTATTCCACTGATCTTCCTTGTATCTTTATGATATCTGATCCTCCCCGCCGCATGCCCCTTTCCCCCTTATTTTGCTGGGGCTTCCACCTATGAGAGGAAACATTCGACCCTTAAGTTTGTGAATCTGGCTTATTTCATTTAGCATGATATTCTCCAGTTCCATTCATTTAGCAGCAAATACCATAATTCCATCCTTCTTTATGACTTAAACTCCATTGTGTGTGTGTGTGTGTGTGTGTACCACATTTTTTCCTTCATTTTTAAAACTGGTTCTTTTATTTATTTATTTTGAGAAAAAGGAGAAGAAGGTTTATCTGCCCATCAGCAGGAACGGGGTAATCCTATTTCCCCTGAGATTAGGGAGGGGGAGAGATTAGGGAGAAGCAGAAAAAGAGAAAGAGAAAGAAAGGTCCATTTTTAAAATAAGTTGCAGCAACTAGGTTTGTGGCTCAGTGATAAAGCTCTTGCCTAGCACATGTGAGGCACTGGGTTCGATCCTCAGCACCACATAAATATAAAATAAAGATACTGTGTCCACCTAAAAATAAAAAATAATATTTTTTTAAAAATAATAAGTTGCAGTGGCACAGCAGCAAGGGCTATGTTCAAAGCATAAAGTGGATATGAAAAATTGTGCTCTATATGTGTAATAAGAATTTTAATACATTCTACTGCAGTGTATTTAAAAAAATAATAAAATCAATAAAAAAATAAAGTGGATCATTATTATATTTCCTGTCAATTTCTATATTCCATTTCTATGGAAAAATGGGTGACAACATCTCCAAACTGCTTCCTGTTGAAAGAGGGAGAAGTTGGGGGAAGTAACCCAAAGCCCTTGTTCTGTATCAGGTAGGGTATGGACAGTTATGGGTAATCAGCATCAGAGAAGTTCAGAGGTCCACAGTGGCAGATGGAAGGTGACTGGGCAAGGCATTTTTATTTGTTCTTTTTAGATATACATGACAATAGAGTATATTTTGACATACTATACACACATGGGAGTATAATTTCCCATTCTTATGGTTGTACATGATGTGTAGTTACAATGGTCATGTATCCACATATGAATATAGGAAAGTTATGTCCAATTCATTTTACTACTCCCATCTACCCACCTTTCCCTTCATTCCCCTTTGTCTAATCCAATGAACTTCTACTCTTTTTTACCCCCGTTCCCCATATGGTTAGTATCTGCATATGAGAGAGAACATTCAGTCTCTGGTTTTTTGGGATTGGCTTATTTCACTTAGTATGGTAGTTTCCAATTCCATCCATTTACCTGCAAATGCCATAATTTCATTCTTCTTTACGGCTGAGTAATATTCCATTGTGTATATATATGTCACAATTTCTTTATCCATTTATCTGTCAAAGGGCGCCCAAGTTGGTTCCATAGCTTAGCTATTATAAACTGAGCTGTTATAAACATTGATGTGTCCGTGTCACTACAGTATGCTGATTTTAAGCCCTTTGGGTATATGCCGAGGATTCGGATAACTGGGTCAAATGGTGGTTCTATTCCAAATTTTCTTTTTCTTTTCTTTCTTTTTTAAATACCCTTTTTTTTTTAGTTGTAGATGGACACACTATCTTTATTTTATTTGTTTATTTTTATGTGGTGTGGGGGATCGAACCCAGTGCCCCACACATGCTAAGCAAGCGCTCTACCACTGAGCCACAACCCTGAACTCCATTCCAAGTTTTCTAAGGAATTTCCATACTGCTTTCCAGAGTGTTTGCATCAATTTGCAGTCCCACCAGCAACGTATGAGTGTACCTATTTCCCCCACATCCTCGCCAACATTTGTTTTTACTTGTATTCTGGATGATTGCCATTCTGACTGGAGTGAGATAGAACCTTAGCGTGCTTTTAATCTGCATTTCTCTAACTGCTAGAGATGTTGAACATTTTTTCATATATTTGTTAACCATTTGTATTTCTTCTTCTGTGAAGCGTCTGTTTAGCTTCTTTGCTCATTTATTGATTGGGTTATTTGTTTTTTTTTTGGTGTTGAGTTTTTTGAGTTCTTTATATATCCTGGAGAATAATGCTCGACCTGAGGTACAAGGTGGCAAAGATTTTCTCCCATTCTTTAGGCTCTCTCTTTCACATTATTGTTTCTTTTGCTATGAAGAAGCTTTTTTAATTTGATACCATCCCATTTATTGATTCTTTTTTTTTCATATTTATTTTTTAGCTTTTTTTTTTTTTTAGGTGGACACAATATCTTTATTTTTTATTTTTATGTGGTGTTGAGGATCAAACCCAGTGCCCCGTGCATGCCAGGCGAGTGCGCTACCGCTTGAGCCACATCCCCAGCCCCCCATTTATCGATTCTTGATTTTACTTTTTGTGCTTTAGGAGTCTTATTGAGGAAGTCAGTTCCTATACAACATGGTGGAGAGTTGGGCCTACATTTTCTTCTAGTAGGTGCAGGGTTTCTGGTCTGATCCCTAGCTCTTTGATCCACTGTGAGTTGGGTTTTGTGCAGGGTGAGAGGTAGAGGTTCAATTTCATTTTGTTACATATGGATTGACAGTTTTCTGAACACCATTTGTTGAAGAGACTATCTTTTCTCCAATGCATGTTTATGGTGCCTTTGTTTAGTATAAGATAATTGTATTGATGTGAGTTTCTCTGTGTCTTTTATTCTGTTCCATTGGTCTCCATGTCTGTTTTGTACATCAACATCATATTTTCTTTATCTATTCTTCTATTGACAGGTATCTGGCTGCTCCATAACCTGGCTACTGTGAACTGTACTGCTATAAACACTGATATGGCTGTATCACTATAGTATGCTGATTATAGTTCTTTAGAAAACACACCAAGGAGTGGGATAGCTGGGTCATAAGGTGGTTCCATTCCTGGTTTGTTTGTTAGAAATCTCTACATGATCACACTTCAAAGTTGAACATTTCATGATTTAAAGATATGGAACGTTCAGCTACTGTTATACCTTTAGTGAATAATGTACAGCTACTGCTATACCTTTAGTGAAAAAGGTATGGGTAAAAGAAACAAACATGGCAAAATAAAGAAAAATAACAAAGGCTGTCTTAGGAATTACTTGTTGCACAGTAGAAAAAAATAATTAGGAGAATTTCATTTAAAAGATTTCAATTATTAATGAGTCAATACTCTCCTATAATTATTCTCTAGGTTAAAGTTAGAAACTTTGTAGACATGATTCAATAATTATGCCCATTCCACCATAAATTTTGGAGAGATAGCCACAAAATGACTTACCCTCTGTGAGTAATTAAGATTGTCTGTGTGATTGGGGAAAAGCTCAAGTGTCAGGGATGGCTGTTTCAGAATTCCTGGCATAAGATCCATGTTTGAGTCACTATCCTGGTCTGAGATGTTACTTTCCAATGAATCAGCTATGGAGTAAAGAAAAAAAAATCAATGATCATACCTGCTACTCCTTTGGAGCAAAAGTTTAATTATGCTAACTAGTCTACTTAAATTACTTAAACAAGCACTATTTTCTTCCACATTTTTTATTGGTGCATAAAGTTATACATATCGATGGGATCTATTGTTACATATTTGTATATGCACACAATATAACAATATAATTTGACTAATACCACTCCCTAGCACTTCCCACTTCACTCTCCTTGGTCCCTTTCCTCCACTGACCTCCCTTTGACTTTTACAAAATTCACCCCCATCTTTCTTTTCCTTTTTCCTCTCTAGCTTCTGCATATGAGAGAAAATATACAACCCTTGACCTTCTAAGTTTGACTAATTTTGCTTAACGTTATGGTCTCTAGTTCCATCCATTTTCCTGTAAATACCATACTTTTTTTTTGGTGTGTGTGGGGGACTTTATCCAGGGGAACTTAGCCATTGAGCCACATCCTTAGCCACCTTTATTTTATTTTTTATTTTGAAACAGGGTCTTTCGAGAGAGAAGATGGGAGGGGAGGGGAGGGGAGGGGGATAGTAGAGGATAGGAAGAGCAGCAGAATACAACATACACTAGTATGGCAGTATGTAAAAAAGTGGATGTGTAACCGATGTGATTCTGCAATCTGTATACGGGGTAAAAAATGGGAGTTCATAACCCACTTGAATCAAATGTATGAAATATGATATTTCAAGAGCTTTGTAATGTTTTGAACAACCAATAATAAAAAAAAAAAAAGAAAGAAAAGAAACAGGGTCTTTCTACGTTGCTTAGGGCCTAAGTTGCTGAGGCTGGCTTTGAATTTGTGATCCTCCCGCCTCTTAGCCTCCCAAATCTCTAGGATTACATGTGTACCAGCCATAATTTTATTTTTTTTTTCAAATATTTATTTTTTAGTTATAGGTGTACACAATACTTTTATTTTATTTTTATGTGGTGCCGAGGATCGAACCCAGTGCCCCATGCATGCTAGGCAAGTGCTTTACCTCTGAGCCACAACCTTAGCCCCCATAATTTCATTTTTAACAAGCACTATTTTTAAAGCAAGGCTGACAAATGTTTTCTGTAGAGGATCAGGTAATAATATTTTAGGCTTTGCTGACCACATAGGTCGCTGTTGCATATTCTTCTTTATATTTTATTGATAACCCTTTAAAAATGTAAAACCCATTCTTGGCTGAATTTGGCATGTGCATTATAGTTTGCTGGCTCTCCTGATCTATGGGACAACAGAGTGCAGACTAGAAAACAAGATACTTTTCAGATGTAGAATATAATAAAAGCATCTGTTATTCTCTGAATAATTTTTATTACATATTCATAGAGCACAGTGCCAAGTAGACAGTAGGATATCCAAAAGCTACAGAGGAACTAGTCTCTGAGATTAAAGAACAATCTGGTTGAGAGACAAGCATTGAGTTAAAAGAAAAACAAAACTTAAAAAAAAATTGGGAAAAAAATCAAGAAACAGAATTTGAGTTGGAATGGGGCACAACAGGCATAGGGGATGTTTCATGACAGGAGACAAACACCTAACTGTGGGAGCTATAGTGGGATGACAAGGCTCTAGTTCTGGGAAACTTGCTGGTGGCAAACAGGCTCAGCCAGAGAAAACAGGCAGGTACTCAGCCAACTGGAAACAGGTCCTGGCTTCTGCAATTAGGTTGGCAGACAGAGTCTTGCTAGGAAGGCAAGCAGCTGCTAGGATAGTGACCCAAATCATGGAAGGCCCTTCCTGCCAGGAATGTAACTGATCCTAGGGTATAAGACAGGGAGGGGCCCAGAGTGAGAAATCAATGGTCCAAGTATAAAGTTGGAAAGTTGCCAAACTAGGGCCCAACAAAAATCATTAGCCTGAAGATGAGACTATGAAAGTGTAATATAGATACCCCACCCTACAAATGTCTCAGAAAGGTGACATTTTTCACCTATTGTCTGATCAGACATGAAGAAACAGGCTTAGTGTGCAAAATGCAAAGGTTCTACGCAAAATAAGATTGTGAGTTCAGACTAAGAAGTATGAAACACTGTCATCCTTACGCCACCTTTTCTAGGCTGCTCAAGTTTTTCCAGCTCAATGTCAGAAGATCAGCCTGGTGCCATTATAAGATCCTTCTACCTGTAAGATTCTATGGGGTTCCATACAAAGTCTCTCATATGGGATTAGGAAAGGAGGTAGGAGCTCACTTATAATTTGCAAAGAACAAATTGGAAATCAAGCCATCTACATACTGATTAAATTTTATGAAAGAAAGACAAGAGCCAGGTGTGGTGGCACACGCCTGTAATCCCAGCGTCTTAGGAGGCTGATGCAGGAGGATTGCAAGTTCAAAGCCAGCCTCAGCAATTTAGCGAGGCCCTAAGCAACTTAGTGAGACCCTGTCTCAAAATAAAATATAAAAAGGGCTGTGGATGTGGCTTATCAGAAAGTTATAGGAAGATAATATCTTGTATCTGTATATAATCCAATAGTTATAATGCCTTAGAAGCTAGAGAGTGCCTTAGATAATTTCAAAATCTCTTCCAATGCAATAATATTGAATATACAAATAGATACTAAAACAGAACCATGCCAAAAAATGTTCTTACTCAAGGACTCCACAGGAGAAGGAACCACAAAAGCTATTTCCGTCAGGGCATCAGCATAATACAGCACCTTCTTTTGTCCATTGAAAATGCTAGCCCCAGCATCTTCAGAGGAAACTACCTCATCTAGGAATAAGAAACACTACATTACTTCTTTGAACAGTGTGGAAAACCAATCTTTGTGCTTCATGAAATGCTAATAAAGTGACACTAGAGGAATGCATGTTTCTAACAAGAACCAATTAGTGTGTAAGATGAATAAACTACAAATGTTCATTACATGTCTTTATACTAACTTTAAGTCATAAAATCATAGTTTCATAGTTTTTGAAACTACTCTATAGCAGACCCACTTCTGATTAGCAGGATCTTTATCTCCTCTGTATGAGGCAGAGTGAGGGAGCAGTAATTTTAAGACAAGTAAATAATCAAAGGAAGACCACCACAGTCCCTCTGAAAGGAGCAGGGATAGAGTGTATGTATGCAGACACCTGCTTCAAGGTACTTTTGTCCCTGGTCTCTCTCAACTGCTCTTTGGCTCTGCTGCTGTTCCACATTCCCCAATGGTCAATAATACAATAAAAAAATATCCAGGCAGTTAGTAAAAGTATCTGCTCTTAGCCAGCAAGACTGAATTAAAAAAAAAAACACTCCAGAGAAGTAGTATTGTTCTCAATTAAAATGAACACAATGTCCTAACATAAAAGTCCAACACCTTGACAAAAAGTTGGGCAGAGGAAATGAACAAGCAATTCTCAGGAAAGAAAGAAAAATAGAAAATAATGGATTAGAAGATGCGATGAAGATATGGCAAACAAGAAATTTAGACCAGAGGTTAATAAACTTTTCCAGTGAAGGATCAGTTAGTATATATTTTATGCTTTGCAGGCTATATGGTTTCTGCCACACTTACTTAATTCTCCATTATAGAATGAAAGTAGCCACAGACGATACCTAAGTAAAATGTGGCTGAGTTCTAGTAATACCACTTAAAACACAGGCTGGACACTTTTATCTACTGCAGTAGACGCTGTGGTTACTGCCCCAACATCTACTCCACCTGCCCCTACTCTATAGTAGGCCTGCAGTATGGGTGGGATTTACCTAAATACCAGCTCTACCTTATTTATCAGGCTCATTCCATTTTTCTTGCCACTGGGATGGGTTTGACGTAGTCTAATTACTGTGCAATGCAAAAATTGGGGGAGTAAAGGGATTCTGAGACAGAGCTAATCTCTCTCTTCAGGTTAGTGTAGTATGTCCATATAAATCTTTGAGCTGCCTTCAGAGACAAAGCTAAGATGTAGAAAACAAAGCTAAAGGAAAATTACAAAGAAAGAAAACAAATGCTATTCAAATGATACAGAAAATTTAACCAATCTCTGAAATTTTTAGTTACATGAGGCAAAAAAATGACCTTCAATATCTAAGCTAGTTTGAGTCAGGTTTTCTGTTACTTAAAACCATAAGCACCCAAGTGATATAGTCATAAAATGGAAAAAAAAATATGCATATACTTTGATTTATCAATTCTACTTATGGGAGGGTACAGATATACTCAAGCATATATTCAAGGGTATATGGAAATTAAAATTATAGCTTCAACTGTGGTAAAAATTAGAACAAACTAGAGGTCAAGTCACAATGATATATAAATGGAAACCTTGAGAGAATATAATCTTGTTGACATAAGAACTGAGAAAATTCAAAGCGCAACATAGGAATTACTCACTTCAGACAGAGAACCTTCCAATGACTTCAGGAGCCCAGGAACAAAATGCATTAGCCAGGTGGGGCAAAGGTCTTAAGTTTAAATTTATACTGCTCTGGTCCCTTGTTATCCTGATTATAGTTCCTCAGAAGAATTTGCAGAGATGGGCAAGAATTTCTGAGAGAGTCAGCTTGTTTACTACAAAGGTTTTGATATGATGTCCCAAGAATGTAACCTTTAACTGTTTTTTTTTAAATAGCCACTATAAAACATACCTATTAATAGAAAACTGTATTTATTACACAAAACTTGCTTGTTAGGAAACTGTATTGTTTGTTATAGATAACCTAGACTTATTATAGTATTTTTATAGAAAACTGAATTTGTTTACTCACATTACAAAAAGGAACTTACAGCACTGTAATGATTAATTCTGTATTAATTCACCTACCACTATGCATATAAATATCTTTAATATACACAAGAACTGTCTAGAAGAATATATATACTAAGTGACTCTTTGTGAGGATTGAGATTGAAGGAAGGAGACTTTTCTTTTATACCACTGTTTCTTTTTTTAAACAAAACTACAAATTCATAATAAAGGGCGGGGAGTGGGCAGGGAATCAAGAGAAACAAAACAAGAAACAAATGACCATTATGATTGAGTTTTACCTTGTTCAGACCCTTCCCCATCATCACAACTGTTAATCGACCAACTGGTGGAAACATGTCCTGTCCAGCCAGGGTGTTTGCCCACATCTACCGACCAGCCAAGGGAGAGCAAAAATTCTAGGAAATGTGGCTGAACATTTCTGGAAGACTCCACATTCTTTAAAATCTGAAATATATAACATCATCAGCTATCATGTAGGAAACTTAAGAACATACTAAAATAAGTATTCATAAAACTGATTAGCTTTGAAGTTTCTGAAAAAATTAAAATCCAGTTCAGAAGAAATTTGAGAATACATCACTGTTGTGAAAAATAAGTGCTCGAGTTATGTTTGGATTGGCTGGGCCTTAAATTTCTTAACTTGCCTCACTTTCTTCATTTGTAAAATGGGGATAACAATAATGGTAGTGAAGGGTAATGAGATAATGTAGGTAAAGCCCTGAGCTCCATTCTTGCTGAAACAATTATTGAGTCTGACATATTTATTAAAAATAAATAAAAGACACAATGTCCTTGCTGTGCACAGAGTTAATAACCTGGTTAATTTACAAAAATATTATATAGTTATGTAATTATTTAACTACAAGTCTTGACAAATGCTACAAAAGTAAAAACCTATTAAGAATTCAATAGGGCTGGGGATGTGGCTCAAGCGGTAGCGTGCTCGCCTGGCATGTGTGCAGCACTGGGTTTGATCCTCAACACCACATACAAATAAAGATGTTAAAAAAAAAAGAATTATTGAATTCTTTATTGAAAGATTAGGTATATTAATAAATGTGAGAATACTCTTTTCTTAGTCCAAAGGAAAGAATACAGTCATTCCAGGAAAAATGAAGTGACCAAAAGATTCTCTCCTCCCCACTAATAACAAACAGTGGCGTGCAGCCCGGGTTCGATCCTCAGCACCACATACAAACAAAGATGTTGTGTCCGCTGAAAACTAAAAAAAAAAACTAAAAATAAAACCAAACAAACAGTGTAACACTGGGGCTTTCTACTGATCTCAGGAGAACCTCTTGCTCTAAAAGAGCAGTTCTCATCTCGGGGTGATTTTGTCCTCCAGGGGACATTTGGCAATATCTGAAGACATATTTGGTTGTTTCAACCAGTAGAATAATGCTGGGGATTATAGTAGAATAATCTAGGGGAAGAGGCCACAGGTACTGTTAAATGTTTAAAAATACACAAGTCAGGGGCTGGGGCTGTAGCTCAGCGGTAAAGTGCTTGCCTTGCATGCGTGAGGCACCGGGTTCGATCCTCAGCACCCCATAAAAATAAAGATACTTTGTGTCCATCTACAACTAAAAAAGAAAAAAAAAAACCACAAGTCAGTCCCCACAACAAAGAATTATCTGACCCAAGATGGCAACAGGGCGATTGTTAAAACACTCTGTTCTAAATAAAGGAAAATAAGAAATTCTTCTTCAAATTAAAAATAAAACAAGGGGTGGGGAACAGTGTATAAAAATCATCTGGGGAATGTGTTAAAGATGAGTCCATTAGATTTTCCAGACATACATCAAAATTAACCAAAGCAAGATCCTAGAATCACTATTTTTTAAAAACTCCCCCCAATGACTGTGATGCAGCCAGTCCCCAGATCACTGATGTCATTCAGACAATGCTAATATGCCAAGACCATGCAGACGCCTGTGAAAGTTAAAAATATGGGAAGTTACACATATTGCTCCTCAATATATTGTATCATTGCCAGGTTTACCTCTTAAACACAGAACTATTGTCTCCAGAAGTGTACTCGTTTAGTTCAACCACATCCTTTCATATTCTTCTATCAAAAAACTAATTGGCTAACCAGTTCTAGTTTTTGCTATTAAACAGAAGCAAAGCTTTTAAATTAACGGTTTCTGAAAAATTTAGTTAAGAAGCAGTAAGTGAATCAAATTCAACTTGCAGGTCACTTTCTGGCAGTTAGAAATTAATCACCTGTGGCCAGGAAGAGCAAGGTCTCAGCCACTCCAAAGAAGCCCCTGAGAAACCCCTTGTTTCCTGGTCACCCCAGACTCTAGAACCTAAGGAAATTGAACTGGTTGGTTTAGGAGTTGCCTCAAGGGCTTATGTATTCTTTAACAGGTAGGAGAAAAATGGCTCCAATATTCTCAAGTGAACAACACACGAGAGTCTTTTCAAAATACATCCCCAGCTCCTGTAATTAATCCAATTTACTGAGATTCTTTTAAAAAACTAGAGTCCACCACTTTCATATCTGCCTGTCACTAACTTATTTTCTCCCAAGTACCAAGCACACTGGCATTCATAATGAATTCCATAAAGATGCAATACTGTCTTATCATAATCTGTTTCTGCCTTTTTAATGAACACCTCAAATATTGCTTAACGTCCCATTTTCCAGGATGCTTTTTAAAAATCAGGTTATGTTTTCCTGTTAAGGCTCCTAAGACATATTTTAATGCCCCATTAGTATACTTTACAATGGGTGCTTATTTAATTGTCCTGTCTAGACAATAGTTCTAGAAAGCCAGAAGCCTTGTAGCACTTATTTTCCAGTGTAACCTGGGACCTAATAGAGAACACACACTTAATATAAGAGTTACTGAAAGAATAACATGAAATGAGGAAGAACTTTCTCAAAAACTTCTTTTCCAGTAGATCACCAGTGCAAAATTTAAAATAATGCTTCTCAAGCAAACATTTTTTGACTTTGGTATGACTTTTGGTAAATTTCTAAAAAAGTGCTGATTTTATTAGTTAATAGTCCTAAGTTGATTATAGTAAAATTCTAAGTCATAGTGCCCTCACACATCTGAGTATTGTATTTTACAAACCTTCCTTTGACTCTTTCCTAATTAGTTGGGAACTGCCCGTTCCATGTTTTAAATATTAATTTCCAATACAAAATTCAAATCTTCTGCCATTTTGCTCTTAGTTTTACATTCCCACCTATCTTATATCTTCCTTCTACTCTCCTCTGCTACATACTGTTTTTATCCTTTACCTCATGCATCATTCCCTGCATTGTGCACTATGCATACCTTTTGTTTGTGAGCTTACCTGGAAGGAACCTCAAGCGGGGAGCCTGTTGCTCACTTGGTCTAGCTAGCCTGAGCTCTTTGTAGCTAATATGTATTTTATTTTCTTTTGCCCATGAATATGAATTCGTTAAGAGAAAGAAAGACATGCTACAATTCTACTCTAAACTACACTCCTTGAGAGTCAAAAGACTCAGAACACTAAATACTATAGTTTTAATTCTTTCTATTTCTTTAATTCTTTCTGAACTAGTTCATAGAAAGTCTTCATTTCTTACCAAGGATAAGGACAAACCTTTTATGTAAATCTTATGTATTTATAGCACAAAATGTTGCCAAAAAGAAAAATAATTCAGAATTCTTACCTCTTGGTTTGTTTTCTGACCTGGCTTCATATAGAAAATAAAAACTGTGTCAAAAGGACGACATGGCAAGAGATCCAGATATCCGATGTCATCAAAAAACCCAGGTATCGTGGAATCAAGTGCAATAAGGTGAGGAGGTAGACGACTATTTGCAGGTTCCTACCATTAAAGGAAAAAAAAGAGAAAGTTTTATCTCTGTATCATTATTCTAATTATAAAGTAAGATTTGCTTTTGGTTGAATAAACATTAAATTAAAAAGTTAAAGTGTCAGGAATAAACACAGCCATAATCCTAAAGAAATTATTTAACATTTTAAAAATACTTCCTTCTAGTTCTTTAATCACTTTTTTTTGTTGTCACAGACACATCTCAGAAGAAGATATACAATCAATCAATAAATATATGAAAAAAATGTTCAACATCTCTAGTAACTAAAGAAATGTAAATCAAAACTACTTTAAGGGCTGGGGATATAGCTCAGTTGGTAGAGTGCTTGCCTTGCATGCAAAAGTCCCTGGGTTCGATCCTCAGCCCCGCAAAAAAAAAAAAAAAAAAAAAAAAATCTGCTTTAAGATTTCATCTCACTCCAGTCAGAATGGCAGTTATCAAAAATACAAGCAACAATAAGTGTTGGCGAGGATGTGGGGGAAAAGGTATGCTCATTCATTGCTGGTGAGACTGCAAATTGATGCAACCAATATGGAAAACAGTATGGAGAGGCCTTAGAAAACTTGGAATGGAACTACCATTTGACCAGCTATCCCACTCCTCAGTTTATACCCAAAGGATTTAAAATCAGCATACTACAGTGATGCAGTCACTTCAGTATTTACAGCAGCTCAATTCACAAGAGTTAAACTTAGATGCCCTTCAAAAGTTGAATAGATAAAGAAATTGTGGTATATATACAAAATGGAATATTACTCAGCATTAAAAGAGAATCAAATTATGGCATTTGCAGGTAAATTGATGGAGTTGGAGAATATCACGCTAAGGGAAATAAGCCAATCCCCCAAAACCAAAGGCCAAATGCTCTCCCTGATATATGGATGCTGATCCATAATGGCGCACATGGGGGGGCGATGCAGGGGAAGAATGGAGGAACTTTGGATTGGGCAGAGAGAAGTGAGGGGAGGGGGTATGAGGGTAGGAAAAATGCTGGAATGAGAGAGACATCATTACCCTAGATACATGCATGATTGATTATAGGACTGTCATGACTCTACATCATGTACAATCAGAGAAATGAAAAGTTGTACCCTATTCTTGTACAATGAATTGAAATCATCCTGCTGTCATGTGTAACTAATTGGAACAAGTTTTTAAAAAAAGATAATTGAGCTGTGCACGGTGGCACATGCCTGTAATCCCAGTAGGTCAGGAGGCTGAGGCAGGAGGATCACGAGTTCAAAGCCAGCCTCAGCAACTTAGCAAGACACCAAGCAACTCAATGATAGCCTGTCTCTAAATAAAATACAAAAGAGGGCTGAGGATGTGACTCAGTGGTTGAGTGTCCCTGAGTTCAATCCCCAGTATCCCCCGCAAATATACTGAAATTACAGTGTGCATATAATTTTGGATTCTATTTTCTCTATAATATCATGCTTTCTAGTACTGCTTAAAAAGGTGTTTCCTCTCATTGATAGTAGAAATGCAAAATGATACAGTTACTTTGGAAGACAATTTTGCAGTTTCTTAAAAAGATTAACACAGTCTTACATACAATGCAGCAATTAAATGCCTTGGTTATTACCCAAATTACTTAAAAATGCAAATCTACACAAAACCCTACACAGAATATTTATAACAGCTTTATTTATAATTGTCAAAACTTGTAAGTAACCAAGATGTCTTTCAATAGGTGACTGGATAAACAAACTATGGTACATCCATACAGTGGAATATTACTTGGCAATACAAAGAAATGAGTTATCAAGTCACAAGGAGACATGGAGGAACTTTAAATGCATATTGCTAAGTAAAAAAAGCCTGTATGTATATATGATTCCAATTACATGACATTCTGGAAAAGCCAAAACTATAGGGAAACAGTACAAAGATCAGTGTTTGCCAGGGGCTTGGAGAGCAAGTGAATAGGTGGAGCATAATGGAATTTTCGAGCAGTGAAATTATTCATGTAATACTATAATGGTGAACTGTCATTATACATTTATGCATTTGTCATAATCCATAGACCTATACAACAAAGAGTAAAGCTAATTAATGTAAACTATAGACTTCAATTAATAATATATTAAAAAGGTTCATCAATGTAACAAATGTACCACATTGATGGAAGATGTTAAAGGGGGAAACTGGAGTGGGGGTATGGGGAAGAATATGGAAACTCTTTAAACTTTTTGCTCAAACATTCTATAAACCTGAAACTTTAAAAAGCAAAATCTGTTAATTTTTGTTAAAATGCATTTTGTGTTTTGTTTTCACCCTAATCCCTTATCTTCTTTGAGATCTTCATCTTACCTTACCAAACAAGGTCCTGTGAACCATAATATTTTTCAGTAAAGCATCATCCAGGGATGGCAAGGATTACTTTTTCACATTGGTAAGATTGTGAACCTGGTCTGCTTAGTCTGTTATATACCATTCCTAGCAAGGGTTTGGACAACACACTTTATAATCAAGGATATTAATAATTCTGCACTCAAACAGGACAGTGTTCATACCAAGTGAAATAAGTAATGATTCCAAAAACTTTGTGTTAATTCAGGGCAGATTTTGCCACTAGATGAATTTGTTACAAACATACTAAAAAAAACAAAATCTAGTTTTTACTTTGAAATCACAGATAAGGAATTGTGGAACTGCAGCATGTTACATCTTGTGAGCAAAGTGTTTTTATACTTTTTTGAAAAGTAAGATGTGAGATGGGCGCAGTGACGCATGCCTGTAGTCCCAGCAGCTTGGGAGGCTGAGACAGGATGATTGAGAGTTGAAAGCCAGCCTCAGTAACGGCAAGGTGCTAAGCAACTCAGTAACACCTGTGTCTAAATAAAATACAAAAATGGGCTGGGGATGTGGCTCAGTGGTAAAGTGCCCCTGAGTTCAATCCCTAGAACCGCCCCCCAAAAAGTAAGATGTGTTCTGTTTGTTCTTTTGAATGACTAATTTAGGAACATAACATGTACATACTTTATATATCTTAATTTTTTAAAAGTTTCTTTTAGATCTTGTACATAGTTTTTTAAGGCAACTTTTGTCTGTCACAGCTGAAAATAGATATTTTTGCATTGTATTTTTTTGCAAGGGGCGGGGGAGACCAGGGATTGAACTCAGGTTGCTGAGGCTGGCTTTGAACTTGTGATCCTCCTGCCTCCGCCTCAGAGCTGCTGGAATTATAGGCGTGCGCCACGGTACCCAGCTGCACTGTATTTTTTTTTTTTTTAAAGAGAGAGAGAGAGAATTTTTTTTTAATATTTATTTTTTGGTTTTCGGTGGACACAACATCTTTATTTTATTTGTATGTGGTGCTGAGGATCGAACCCAGTGCCCCGCGCATGCCAGGCAAGCGCGTTACCGCTTGAGCCACATCCCCAGCCCTGCAGTGTATTTTTAACTGGATATTATAGGTAGTCATTATATACTTCCTCCTAGTTTATATATTTTTATGTGGGAATCTTAATTCTCATTTATTTTAAATATTATATTGATTCCCTTATGATTGTCTAATTAGAAGTCATATCAAGTGCAAACTGTCTCTTTGTTTCCAATGATTTTTATCTTTTTTTTTTAAATTTTTTTAAGTTGCTGTTACACACAATACCCCTATTTATTTCTATGTGGTGCTGAGGATTGAACTCAGTGCCTCACATGTGCTAGGCACGTGCTCTACCACTGAGATACAGCCCCAGACCATGATTTTTAACTTCTTATTTAGTTTATTTTAATATTTTATTAGCTTTCTTCATTTTCATACTGTACTATAGTTATATATGATACTGTCCTCGGGGAAGATCTCCCTGCACTTTTATTTTACAATTTCCTATTAATTTATAATTACTTAAGACCAAAAAGTTTTAAAAGATTCATTCATTAAAAATTCCTTATGGGCTGGGTTTGTGACTCACTGGTAAAGCACTTGCCTATCATGTGTGAGGCACTGGGTTCGATTGTCAGTATCATATATAAATAAATAAATTAAATAAAGTTCCATCAAAAACTAAAAACAAATTTTTTTTCTTTAAATTCCTTGTTGTTAAATAGTAGTCAAAGAAGACATTACCTTTGATTTTTATAAAAGGTGCCTCCAGTTTGCTCCTGGGCTCCCTTCAGAGAGATCTTTAATAAGGACCTACACTAATAGTCCTATATTTTTTTTTAATCAGAATATTTGTGTATTAAACACTGATGCATTGTTTTATTAACTGATCTGCCTACAGAATCAGTGGTTTTCTTAAAAATTTTACTAATATTTTGCAAGAATTATTTCTTTTTGAGCTGCTAGGATAAATTTTGGTCATGGAAGATCATTCACTTTTTTTTTTGTTTTTTGGTACCAGGGATAAAACTCAGGGGTACTTAACCATTGGGCCATATCCCCAGCCCTATTTTGTATTTTATTTAAAGACAGAGTATCACTGAGTTGCTTGGTGCCTCTTCACTGCTGAGACTGGCTTTGAACTCAAGATCCTCCTGCCTCAGCCTCCCTTGTCGCTGGGATTACAGGCATGTGCCACTGTGCCTGGCAAGATCATTCACTTAACATGTTATTAATTCAAAATTTAGCCAGCATTCACTTATATACTTTTGTACACATATTCATAAGTAAGACTAATTTGTACTTGTTTGTTTCTGTATGTGCTGTCATGTTTGTAATTAGAAATATGCTAACATTCATAAAATAAACCAGGTGCCTTTCTTGATTTTTCCCTATGTTCACATACAGAAGAAAACTGTTATTATTATTATTTTTTTTTTGCAGAGCTGGGGATTAAACTTAAGGCCTCAAGCATGCTACGCAAGTGCTCTACCACTGAGCTACATTTTCAGCTCCTATTATTTTATTTTGAAATAGGGTTAAGTTGCCCAGGCTGATCTTGAACTTGTGATACTCCTACCTCAGATTCCCAAGGAGTTGGGATGACAGGTGTGTGCCACCACGCCTAGCTGAAAATTTTCTTGAAAGCTTAAAAATTTCAACTAATATAGAAAGCATGAATGGAAAAATCACAATCTCAGGGGAAGGGCTATTAGGAGTCCTCATCACAAGATATAATGATTTTCTTCTACCGTATTTTTATTTACTGCTCTACTCTGTTCTGTTTTTCCTACTAGGAATATCACTAGTCATTTGTATGCTGGATCTGTGCTTCTTGCCTTCCCTGTTTACCACTGTATTTCTTCTTATTTTCCTCTTTCTGCTCTTTTATTCTGCATTTTAAGAGATTTTATGTTCATATTCACCATCACAAACTCAGTTTTCTACAGTCTTAAAATATTTTCTCTCTTCATGCTAAAATCCAAAATCACACAGCAATGTCGTCCTGCTTTCCTAGAAAAGTTAAATGGCCTGTGGCCCGATAGTTGCTAGGGAGGAGTAAGAGCAGAGGACAACCTTGGCAATAAACAATATCTTGCCTCACAATCTTCAGTTGTACTTTTCAAAACAAACAGGCCTTAGAATAAACTCCCAATCTACCTTTAAATAAGTTATTACACATTTTAAAGCTTATTTCTGTATCTAAAAAACAAGGATAGTATTTTAAAGATAATTTAAATACTATTTAAAGATAAATTGTTTAAAAATAATGGAATTAAGAATAAAGGCAATATTTATCTTAGAGTTGGCTTACTTTGTGTTAAGTACTGCCTGAAGAATTTTACATGTGTAAATCTTCACTTGAAGAGATGGATACTATTATCATTCCCACCTTACAAGTAAGGAACTGAGAAAGCCAGTCATTCAAGACCACATAGCTGACAAGCAGTGATACCAGGACATAAACCTAGAAGTCTGATCTTAACCAACTATACGACACAAGAAGAACGTGGCTTACATATTACAGAATTAGCCTTATTCTTTTTAAAAGTAATACAAATGAACTGAAACAACTATAGCCCACACTTACCATAATAAAGTTGACTATGGGAAGATTTTTAACATTCCTTTTCTAATTATCTGTAGATTTCACTTACATGTGCAACATGGGTCCTGTATCGACCAAGGAAACTCAGAGCTAGGTATTTTATCAAAGTTGTCCCCTTAGACAGAACTCTGAATGAGATGAGGGGGTGAATTGTCCTGGAGCTCATGCTATATAACCTACTGAATTTCATCTACTTTCATGCAGTGTAATTAGTCTTAAATTTTTTTCTTCTATCTTCATAAAAATATTATAGTTATCACAAACTGAATATTAATTTATGAATATACTTATTGATTAAACTTCATGAAAATTACCTTCAATGCCTCTAAAGACAAAAATCCAAAATGTGAGAGGAAAAGGCGGGCTGTTTGAAATTCCTGGGCAGGTGGTGGGGGCTTGCAATCCGTAATGGGGTCAGGAAAGCTTCTCTTCTGCAGCTCTCCCTCACTCTGCTGCTCAAGGTGTATCTCATAAGCAATCTGCTGGGCCATGCCACTCCTTAATTTTTCATGTCTCTCTTCTAACTGAAATAAAGCAAATATTTCAGTTTGGAAGAACTATTATAAAAATAATCGGGTTACTCTTAATTTTAAATAAAGTTAAAAGTAACAAAGAAAATGAAGATAATTTTCAATGATCAATATTGTACTTCAGTTCAAAATAGAGCATATAATTAAGGAAACATGTTGCAAAGTTAAAACTACACCAAAAACACTTCCCCAATGCCTCATAATTGCTCCTTCATCTCCTGGCTGTAAATGATATAATTCCATCTCTGCTCCTCTTCAAATAGGCAGGAAAAGGGACAGAATTGTTGCTTCTACCTCCACTTCCAGATCACTATCTATCTTCATCCTGCACCATCACCTCATCTTTTTCTGGGGGTGGGGAGGGGAAGGGGATGCCAGGGATTGAACTAAGGGACACTCAATCACTGAGCCACATCCCCAGCCCTATTTTGTATTTCATTTAGAGGCAGGATCTCACTGAGTTGCTTAGCACTTCACTTTTGCTCAGGCTGGCTTTGAACTCATGATCCTCCTGCCTCAGCCTCCAGAGTCACTGGGATTACAGGCATGTGCCACCACGCCTGGCACCATCTTATGTTCTTGTTTGAGTGTCTCCTAGGTGCCCCCCAGTACTAGGAACTGAACATGCTAGGCAAGCACTGAGTTACATCCCAGTCCTTTTTAAATTCTATTTTGAAATAGGATTTGGGCTCAAACTTGCCATCCTCCTGCCTCAGCCTCCTCAGGAACTGAAATTACGGGCAAGCACCACCATACCCAGCTGGTCTCGTTTTTAAAAATCTTAACCACATGGATTCCTTGATTTAGTCTTGGAAATTCCACCTGACCCCTTCCTTCCCTTCTGATCAATCCTATTTTAAATTTCCATCCTCTGGTGAGTAACAATCCTTCTAACATTCTGGCTTAACTCAACAACCTCCTCAAACTTTACAACTTACCACCTATCAGCATATCTTCAACCGCAGACGTAACCTACTTTAAAGGCTATAACTCTGAAATTCCCACTCTAATCCTAAATTTCCTTCCTGCATTCCCTGAGGTTGTGACTCACTATCACCAAGGGACATTTAACCCCTCCTCATATTTTTCCATGCCATTTCTGGCTTCTGTTTCCCAACTAAGCTTAAATCTCCATACCTTCTCCTCATGCCTTCTCCATAAGCACAAAATACTCCTCCCATCTTGGCCTTTCCTTAGCTCGGTAATTTCTTCATGATCTTACCCATTCTATACCCTCTCTTTTTGTATTAATAATGTAATTTATATTCACTGCCTCACCCTCATTAACCATTCAATCCCCAACCCCTCAATTTCTGCATCCCACCTCACACACCTTTGAAGCTTTTCTCAAAGGTCACCTACATTTTCATGCCAAAATTCAGGATTTTATATTATTCCTCCTTCTCCTTGATCTCTCCAGCTTTGACAGAGTAGCCTTTCCTCCATTTCTGTCCATTTGTTTTCTTACCTAAAATACCTCTGTCACTTACTTCTTGAGGCCCAAGGTTCTTCTCTCTTGATTTAAGAGACCAGTCACTTAGTCTAATTATCTAAATTAATCTTAACTAAAACTTTTCTCATCCTCCCAAACCTATCGTCTTCCTAACACCCGTATTTCTGTATATTGCACCAATATCTCTTTATCACTCAAGCTCAAAACCTAAAACTACTTGGCTCCTTCCCTTTCCTCATTAACCCAAGAATGCTTGAATCTACCTTCACAATACACTATATATATTAAACTTCTTTCAGTGACAATCCTTCCTTTTCCTGCTTGGATTATCAGTTGGTCTCTGAATTGGTTCCCCTTCTCCAAAAATCCTCCAGTACAAGTGTCTGATCTTATCACTGAACCATTGAAACCTACTAGGGAAAAGCCAATTCCTATCATTCCCAATTTACATTTGTCTTGCCTCCTGGATATCAGAGACCCAAGCCATTTTATGAATCACCACCCATAACACTAAAGTCAGTCTTAAACACAAAAGTCATTTAAGAATGTTCAGGGTTGAGAACAAAGTTCAGTGGTAACCACTTACCTAGCATATGAAAGACCCTGGGTTCTATCCTTAAATCCTTAATTTTATATTTTAAAAGATGAACTCCCCCATGAATGTTTATATCGACACCCTTAACAACTGCTAGAAGTAATTTATCTTACTTCTTCAGTGACAATTTCATGCAAATCTGGAATACTCAGGTCTGCTTTCACAAAAGGTATCTTGTCCACCTCTTCAGGAAATGGCCGATGTTTCACAGTATACTTAAATCCAACATCATTTTTAGGAACTGGGCGAGGTTCAGGCACAAATAGCTGTTAAAATAATACAAAGAACGTTATGTTTCTTGCATATGATCTAATACCCATCTGTAATGACATGTATTTCCCTGTTTTGCTTTGATACCTGTGTTTCCTTAGGATTATATGTCATAAAAACTCACAAGAGAATCCACAAATGATACAACTAAGGGTAAAGACAGGCAGCTTGCATACCTGCAAACTCAATTTTATTTTATTTTTCTAAAATTGTCCATTGTAGATATTATATTTTTTATGACTGATGAATGGGGCTGTAGACCTCTATAGCCCAAGCCTGAATCTCCCACATTCAGTGATAAGCCAAAGAGTGAGACATTTCAGAACTTTAAGACTCAAACTTCCTTCTTCTCTAAGAATTCTCAAATCACTCCATATAATAAAGTAGAAGTTCAGTTCCCTGGGGGCATCTCTAGAAAGTGAGTTCAATTAGAACCTTAAGTGGCTTAATTAGGAAAGTATGGGTACCAAATCTAGGTCTTCAAGGCTCTAAAACCTTGCATGAATGTATACATGGTATATATTGAGCTACAATAAATTTTAGTTCCTTTCCTGATTCCCTTCTGCTTCAATCTTAAAGGCTTACAGAGCTGCTGACAGAATGTGATCTGCTCATCACAGGGTAACAAACAGCTCATCTAAGAGTCATCTAGGATGTTATATGATTTTAGGCACATGCTCCAATTTTATGGATATAATTCTCAGTAATATAAGTACAAGCTTCCAAATAATACATGAAAAAAGCAGTATACCAAATGACTTTAGTCCTATTTAAGTATAACTATTTATAGAAAGAGATTGAAAGGAAATTCACTAAAACATTAACTGGAGCTATCTCCCTCTGGAGAGTATAAGTTGATTTAATTTTTTTCCTTATTATCCAATTATAAATGTCATAAAAGATTGTATTAAATACAATTTATTACCAATTACATGTAATAAATCAGGTAAAACAATTTGAAACTAAGTCCTATTGCTATATATATATCAAAAGTCCAGCAATTTTTTTTTATCATATGTATCTTTTATTTTATTTTAAATTGAATAGAAAACCCTGGGAATCGTAAATTTAAATTGGGACTGATAGGAACTGGCTGTTCCCTAGTAGATTTCAATGGCTCAGAATAGTAGTCTTTATTCCTAAGTGGAAGTCTGAATCACCTGGAAAGCTTTTGGAAAATACAACTGCCTTAAAGGTGCCTTTAAAAACTAATTCTGTAGACCTGGAATTCCAAGTTCCTAAAGCAATTATGATGTGAACCCACAGACTGAGGACCTGGACAGGGATCAGAATATTGATTGTATCAATGATTTTTGTTGGAATGCTATTTAACCTTTAAAACCCCCACCCCCACCCCACCCCCACACTCCTCAGCAGTCACTTCCCTGTAACTTGTGATGGATACCTTCTGGTTTGCTTTTGCTCCTCTGGGTAAAAGGCAAAGCTGTTGTGCCCAAGCAAGTCTTCCAGACATCCCCCGGACCAGCACAGTGACAGAGGGGAAAAAATCATCTAGAATAAAATGTTTGTGTAAAGTTTTTATTTCAGACAACAAATCATTTTTTAAAAAGACAACTTTTTTTTTTTTAAACAACTGCAGAACTTCTCATAACCAAAGTCCTAGCTCAATGTTTCCTAAACTTCAATCCTTTGTGTATTCCCTTTGTGGTTTCTGCCATACCCAAGTATAATGAGTACTATGAGCTTACTTTGTACCAACCACTCCTAATTTTTAACTTAAATTTAATGAAAAAGGAAACTGTGAATCTCTACTTTAAATGGAAAAACCATGAAACTTGGTGTGTTAATTATGTATCTTTAAAACACATCTTTAAAAATGTGGTATATATATTCAATGGAATATTACTCAGCTTTAAAGAAAGAAATTACAGCATTTGCCAGTAAATGCATGAAGTTGGAGAATATCATGTTAAGCAAAATAAACCAATCCCCAAAAAAATCGAAGACCAAATGTTTTCTCTAATATGTGGATGCTAATTCACAATAAGGCGGGGGGCACTAGAGAAGAAGAGAGTTACCTTAGTTAGGTAGAGAGAACTGAAGGGAGAGAAGGGGAGGAGATGTGGAGATAAAGGATAATAAAACGAAACAGACATTACTGCCTTATGTATAGATGTGACTGCATGACCAATGTGATTCCACAACATGCACATGCAGAAAAATGAGAAATTATATCCCATCTATATATATATATATCAAAGTGCATAAATGCAGTCCACTGTCATGTATAACTAACTAAAACAAATTAAAAATTAAAGAAAAACAAACACATCTTTAAAAAGACATAAAATAATGTTCACCAATGCTTTAACCAACATCATCTCACTTACCTCCTGTGGTACACACACATCTTTGGGAAATGCTATCCTAACTAATAACTTTCTAATGTTGGGAACAACAATTCATGAAGTAGATTGGGTGTCTGCAGTGTTGGTGTTATAGTCATGGCTCCGTGTACAGCTGCCCAGCCCAGGCAGGCACTGTTTCCTCTGGCAAAAGTTCAGGGACAGAGAATATATGTGTGGAAACTCAGGAGAGGGGCTGGGGTTGTGGCTCAGTGGTATAGAGTGCTCGCCTAGCATATGTGAGGTCCTGGGTTGGATTCTCAGCACCATGTATAAATAAATAAAATAAAGGCCCATTTACAACTAAAAAATATATATATTAAAAAAAAAAGAATTCAGGAGGGGCTTCCTTATAACCCAGATCCTTTTTTTTTTTTTTTAGTTGTAAGATGGACACAATGTCTTTGTTTATTAATTTTTATGTGGTGCTGAGGCTTGAGCCCAGTGCCTCACGCGTGCTAGGCAAGTGCTCTGCCACTAAGCCACAAACCCCAACTCTCAGATCCTCTTTATTTTCTTCTTTTATTTCAAATGTAGAGTCAAACCTGTTCATTTTTAAATTTACTTTTTTTAAAAATTTATTTCTCAGGTGTTATTGCCACATAGTTCTAAATCCTTTAGACAAACACATAAATACTTAGAATTCAGTCTTTTCCTTTGCTCACAGAAGTGACAAACACATTGATTTAGCACTAGAGAAGTCTGAAAGTGCTACAACTTACTCTGCTCATTTCCAAGAGGTTGCTCCAGCATTGCTAGGATAACACTGTTATCCAAGACAAAGTACCGGAAACTATGCTTGTTGATAGTTGGCAGCCTGGAGTATTTGATCAGAGTGGTCTCATTCACCAGACTACAAGGAGAGGCAGGACCACTGGGTGAAGGAAATGCACCAAGCAACTGCATAATACTATGGAGAATGAAATAGAGAACAGTTAATTCCCAAAGCAAACTTGTAAAGTTTACTTCACACATCCATGTGTCCTTCTGCTCCTCTGAATTGTAAGTGGCCATGGCCTTCCTCTTTATAGGTCAGATTTGCTCCCTGTGGTGAATATCATGGTGTGCTGTCCAGACTGTGCCCTCTAAGATTGAAAAGCCCATTCCACCAGTTGCAGGGAGATGTGGCCACAGCTCTCAGCTGAGTCGCTTTCTAGGACTTGCCCTTGGCCAGTAAGAAACACTCCTTCATGAGCTCCAGTCCAACGAATAGTTGACGCAGGGTTAGAGTCCATGCCCCCTCATCTCAGCTTGAGAGAACACTGAAGGGCCAAGTGAGTTTCAAAGTGCTTTGCTGCAACTGCATCCTAGTTCAGTTCCTCCTTTGCCTAGTCCTGCTTTCTCCATTCCCCCGTAGGGATTTATACAAAGAGTACTTTCCAATAAAATCTCTTGAAAACTGATTTCTCTCAGAATTTGCTACCCCAGGAACATACTAACCACACTTCCAAATCATGAAACTCCCAAAGATTTTTAATTCTATCTGTATTCTCCAGGCTTCAGGACTATTCTAGCTAAGTATTATAGGCCTAGAAAAGGGCCTAAAGATCAGCCAAACCCCCTCACTTTTCTGATAACAAAACTCAGGCTCAGAAGAGATAGATGACTGTTAAGAGGCCAGAAACCAAGAGCTGCTGCTTTCTCCCTGTGTGGGCAGGAGTAGATACATACTCATGTTACAGATAGGAAACTTGAGGCACTAATAGTTATATCTCACAGAACTAATGTAATTACTAAATCAAAAACTATATGGAAAAATTTTCTATAAGCTGGAATTCAACTGATCAAGTCTTAATATTCAGAAACATTTATAGAGATTTCTTACAAGTACTCAATGAAAAAATAACAATAACTGAACATAGCTCTTACTCTGTGGAAAGTAATGTTCTAGGCACTGTATATACATTGTTTCATGTAGTATCTTAACAACCCTGAGATAGGTATCATTGTTTTTCCCATTTATAATAAGAAATTGAAGCTCAGGGAAAAGTATCTTGTAATTAAAATATAAAGGTTCTATCCTGTGGTTCTAATGTCATCTGACCTTTTATCACTCCAACCTCAGCTGAGTGGCCTCTCCTCTCATTCTAAGGCTAGAACCCAAAGATCCCTGATAATGGAAGACAATGTGGTACAACAGACGTTTTCCTTCCATTCTCTCACCTCCTAGAAGGACTATCTTTTTTTTTTCTTATTGTTTTAGTTGTAGATGGACACAATGCCTTTATTTATTTATATGTGGTGCTGGGGATTGAACCCAGTGCCTTACATGTGAAAGGCAAGCATTCTACCACTGAGCCACAACCCCTACCCCCAAGAAGGACTATCTTAAGAATTCCAAGGACCAAGAGAATTGATCAGTTCAGGCCTCTAATAATTTGGGGAAAATAGGTGAAGTATTAGGAAATCATTAATGAGAAAACATGGCTTTGGTTCTAAAACTGGACAAAGATGGATTACACAAAGCATACAGGCCAACTGAGCTTGTGTTCCATGTAAGAACCTAAGATATTATCAAATAGGTCCTAAAAAAGGAATAGGTCACTGAGATGCAACCATACCAGTCTACCCACATTTTCTCTTTTGACAGTAACTTGACTGGAAAAGTGAGCAATTATCCCTTCAATCACAGTATTTGACAGTGTGTCATGATAAACTTGTAGCTATGATTTAAAAATCCATGTGAACCTTAAGGAAATTATCTGCTGATATGCTTTGTGAGTCTGTCTCTTCAATATTTTTATCAATGATTTTGATTAGAACACACAGGACAAACTCATTAAATTACTGAAGACAGAAATCTGGCCTCTACCCAGACTGGGGCAACAACAGTAGTATGTATCAAATATACCCAGGTATAATGATGACAATATAGAATTCCATGCTATGTGATAGGGTCAGACAGAGAGAGCACAGAGGTGCAGAAAGCAGTCTTCCTTCAGAAGAATAACCCAAAGGTCACAGGGAGGTAGCTAGATTTGATGTAAGCATTGAATAGTGGAGGATGTGGCCAAGAGAAGAGAGAGAGCCTGAAGCTCAGGAGAGGAGCATAAGCATGTAAGAGCATGCCCAGTTCACAAGTAACACGACCATGGCAGGGGTGTGTTGGGGAGCAGTAATGAGAAAGATTAGTCTTCTTGAAATTCAGACAACATGGCAGAAAAGATACCTACTTCAGATTTTCAATCACTCAAGCTACAGAATAAAAACTATGCTTACAGATGAGGAGTTTAGCAAGATAAACAGAAAGGATTATGATACTGAAAACAAGAAAACCAGGCAAGAAGAAAAGAGGGCCTGGAGTAGGATGCTATCTGAGATTAGAGGGGGCAGAGAGAATATTTTACAAAAGTCAAGTCTGTTGGATTCAACTGCTGGCCTCATGTGAGGAATGAGAGATAAATCAGAGAAAAAGTCAAAGTTCTGTGTTTATATAACCAGAAACAGTGATGATACTGACAAAGCAGCAACCATGACAGAACAGAGAGATTTGGCTGTGGGCATTTTCCATGATAACAGAATATTTCTGTATCTTCTTCAAGACTGGCAACCAGAGAGCCCACTGGTGGAGCTTCCAGCAGAGACAAGGAGAGAAGAAGAAAAAGAGATGAGCTATCTAAATAACTGCTGTCTAGATTGGGGAGAAGCACCCAGTGCTCCACTTACCCTGAGCACGTATCCAGTTCTCACTGCTAATCATGCTCTCAAAGGAAAATCCCACCTAGGCTAGGATGCAGCAAATTTATTAGTATCATGAAGAACTTCCAATGAGAAATGCCCTTCCCATTTCTCTCCATATCCTTTTCCTCTGCAAGGCACATGCCTAATTCTGTGACACTTTAAGGTTACCCAAGGCTCTTCTCTGAACTCCTATTATTATCTACATAAGCTTTAGCTGCACTCACATTTTTATGATCTTCTAGCTATTAGCAAAACCTCCACAGAGGAAGTCACTGGAAGTCCAGCATTACACAAAAAGAGCAAGACTTAGCTAAAGCAAGCATCCTGTTTAAAATTTACTGAATGACCTAAGCTCAGGAGGAACAAAAACAAATCCAACTTCACTATACATACTCCAAGTAAGACCACAAACACCCAAAGGCTGCTGGTATCTTGTTTTATTTATTTATTTATTTATATTTTTATTTTAAGTACTGAGAACTTAACTCAGAGATGCTTCACCACTGAGCTACATCCCCAGTTCTAGTTAAAGACAGCATCTTGCTAAGTTGATGGGTGTCTCACTAAATGTCGAGGCTGACCTCAAATTTGCAATCCTTCTGCCTCAGCTCTCTGAGTCAATGGGATTACAGGCATGTACTATGGTGTCTGCCTAGCCTGCTGGGATTTGGGGAGGGGTTGATTTACATACAAATCTTCAAACAGTCTTACTTGCCACTTTACTAAGACCCAAACAAGCCACCCCACACTGGCTAGACATTCCTCCTTCCTACTTTTACATTTTTCTAGATCTTCACTTCATACTTGTCCTTTTCTAAGCCCCTTCTATTCATCACTCCTGTGACTCCATGTAATTTTCCCCCACTTAATGGTCTGCACCACCAGCCTTTTTCTTTATTCCTTTACTACCAAAATGCTGACACAGCCATCCTGGCACCTTCTTAACTGCCCCATAATCTGGCTGACAACTCAGAGTCAGTTTCCATGTCATTTTTCCTAGGGATGTTGCTTTGGTTTCCCATTATCAGGAAGTACTCATTTCTTCTTTCCAACACCCCAGTGCTTTCTTTGTACCTCTTCTCTTGGAACACTAAGTACCCACCTAATATTACAGCAATTTGTGTTCATAATTTATCCTCCCTACTGTCCAGTAGTAACTGAATCTGATTTATCTTTGCAATCCACTGTCAGTTCTTTATAGGAAGTTAATAAATCCTGGCTGAATGAACCTATGACATAATATAAATGATAGAGCAGAGATCATGACCATGGAACTGGGGAGCAGGAGATCTGATGCTGTAACCATAGACAGACACCTCTCCTCTCTGGACTCAGCTATCAAACTGAGGGGGTGGAATGAATCTCTCCAAGGTCCATTCTAGCTCCAACATGACCTGACACGAATTAACATCAACCATTATAGAAAAACAAGAGCCCAAACTCTTCACCCCATATTTATATATATATATATATATATATCCCTTTCCATTTTATTTTTGGAGAAAGTATCCTAGAGGAGCTGAACAACTGTGGAAGAGATGAAACAGGCAGGGATCACTGCTAACCCTATCTAATTCCCAGGCTCAGTCCTTGGCAGTCACTTTCATACCATGTCAGGGTGGCTTCAGCAGCATCCTTTACCCTCATAGATGCAGGGTTTGGCTCCTTATCTCCTTTGTATTTGACCTCTTGCTCACTGTTCTTGGACTTACTTCCTGAGATACCCAGTTCCACAATCTCCAGTACTTCCTTAAGACAGTCCTAGGAGCAGGAAAGGCAGAACAATTTTTATAATATACCTTTCTTATGAGAAAACAAGGAGTACATGAAAATGCTAACAGTGGTTGTATTTTGATGGTGGAGCCTCAGGTTCTAATTTTCTTTAATAGGTAAAAATTAATATCATAGTAACATAATAAATCTTATACCTCTCCTCCAAATTTCTCTTCGAAAAACTAAATTTGCAGGTTTAGAGAGTAGATACTAATTAAAATTAAATCCAATTCAATTGTATCAGTCATAATTTCTTAAAAATTATCATGGATCATAAGCCATGAAAGAGAACAGTAACTCAAAACTTTGGATAGCTTAAGACATATTAGATTATCTAATATATCAAAGGGAAATTAATGAGTGATCAACTTTTTTTGGGGGGGGCGGTGAGGGCAGTAATGGGAACTGAACCTCAGGGCATTCTATCATGGAGCTACATCTACAGGGTTGGTCTTGAACTTGTGATCCTCGTACTTCAGCCTCCTGAGTCACTTGGATTATAGGTGTGCACTAGCACACCAAGCTGTTCACATATGAACATGGGAAAGTTATGTACGATTCATTCTACTGTTTTTCCTATTCCCATCCCTACCTTTCCCCTTCATTCCCCTTTGACTAATCCAATGAATTATGACTAAGATTTTATTGTGGGGGGGAGGGTACTAGGAATTGAATCCAGGGGCATTTTACCACTGAGTTATATCTCCAGTCCTTTTTATTTTTAATTTTGGGACAGGGTCTCGTTAAATTGCTAAGGCTGATCTCAAACTTGCGATCTTCCTGCCTTGGCCTCTCAAGTCAAAAAGATTATAGGTATGCAGAAAAGTGACTTAGATTTTATCAACAATAAAATTTTAAAATTATATAAAGATCTCTATAAATACTAACTGTGATAGCTCTTCTTTTACTTTCACTGAATTCTTATAATGCCTGCTTTCCTATAAGGACTAATGGCAGGGAAACCACACTAGTTATCTGTGTCTACTGAAAAGTGAAAAAAATGTCTGTGAAGTAAAATTTTTAGATAAAAGCAATCTTTACAGATAAGTTGTGCTGTGCTCTAGCATTCCAGGCTAGCAAATCAATTGCCCTTCCTGTTTTGGTAATAGGTGCTCAAAGTGTTTACTAGCTATTTCCAGGATACCAACCTTTCAGTAAGAACAATATTGATAGGTCAGATAAATCAGGCAAGTCTCCTTTTTAAAAGAACTTCTCTATGGGTTACTTTGCAACCAACGAGAAGTATGACAACAGTTTATATGTTGTGCTCAAAATAAGAAGAGTTCTATTAAAATCTAACAAGTATATTGAAAGTGTGATATTGTATTTAAATTTATATATTCTCTTATACAAGGCATTTGCCCGACATACATTTCTGTTTCTGCTTAATGTTTTAAATTTAAATAAACTCACCTTTTCATCAAGCATATCAGGGTGCTCTGTCAGCCAGACACATAGACACTGAAAAGCTGCCACTATCATGGAGTGCAGATCCCGGGAGTGAAGAGGAGCTGGCCGACTGCACTGGTACACAATGTAGCTGCACACAGAACTGATGGCTCGCTTCCGGTCTCCTGAGTCAACCATCACCTTCACCTGAGCATGTTCATTTGGGGAACAAAAGCCATTAGCAAGGAACCACTGTGCCAATTTCAAAGCATCTTTGTTGAGACTGAGCCTATCTGAGAATGTGATATGCCACAGAAGGCCTTGTTTTATAAATATTATTTAGACAGAGAAACAACATGGAATATTTCAGATGTACTAATCACACTCTATAAAAATAGAGGCAGTTTTCAAAGCCTAAATAGTATTTCACTTTAGCATGGGTTTTCATGCCTAAATTCAATTCATTTGTGTCCATCTACTCCTCATCACCAGTGACTGAAAGAATAGCTGGCAAGGGAACATGCACATCTTCAAGCCCCATAATGTAACCTCACAGAAATGCTCTGTGCTCTGCACCAGTTTGGTATAGTTGTTCAGAGGTATGTTTATTTTATTTTTTTTAATTTTTAATATTTATTTTTTAGTTTTCGGCGGACACAACATCTTTGTTTGTATGTGGTGCTGAGGATCGAACCCGGGCCGCACGCATGCCAGGCAAGCGCGCTACCGCTTGAGCCACATCCCCAGCCCCAGAAGTATGTTTAAACTGCACCTATTTAAAGTGTACAATCTGATCAATTTTGACATAAGGACAAATCCGTGAACTATACCCATAATCAAGATAGTCAAACATATACATCACCCCAAAATCTCCTCATGCACCTTTGTAATCTTCCTCCCATTCCTCTTTGCCCCCTTCCCTAACCCACCACTGTTCTGCTGTCACTATAGATTAGCTTGCACTTTCTGGAGTTTATAGAAATAAAATCATTCATTATGTGCATTGCAGCTTTTCCCTTCTACTAGGCAGTTATTTTCAAATTTATCTACATTTTTGTATGTATCTATTTTTTATTCCTTTTTATTGTTGAATAGTATTCCACTTCATGAATATCCTAGCTACCTGTTAACAGACATTTGTTTCCAAGTTCTGGACATTACAAATAAAACTGCTGTGAACTCCTGTGCAAATCTTTGAATGGATATATGCTCCTATAGTGGGAGGGAATGACTCAAACATAGATATGTTAATCTTTTTAAGAAACTGCCAAGCTGTTTTCCAAAATTATTATCCAGTTAACATTCCCATCAATAGTTCTTTCATATTCCTCACCAATATTTGGTATGGGCTATACTGTTTGCCATACAAATAGGTCTGTAATGGTAACTTACTGTGGTTTTATTTGTATTTCCCTAATAATACTAAACATCTTCTCATAGGCTTATTTGCATATCTTCTTTAGTACAATGTCTATTCTAATTTAACTGAGTTGCTTGTTTTATTATTGACTGAGTTTTCTTGTTGTTGTCTTGTCTTTTTAAAAGGTTTTATTAAGGCCTTTTTGAAGTAATATCCAAACTCCAGATCCAGCTGCCAAGGAGACCCTCTTCTGCGGTGGCTGGGGCATAGCAGATGGCTCTAGCTTCCTAACCTCCCATCCAAAGATGAGGTGGTCGAGTGCATCTCATCTTTCAGGTCCACGATGTTCAGTGGTCAATCAGACAGGGGCTTCTTACTGACAATCTACTGCTTGGTCCCAGCACAGCATGACCTTCACTTTAATGCCGAGCACACCCTATCTGAACAGCACCCAGTAAGCGTAAGTACCAACATAGCTGCTGGTATGGTTTGGATATTAGGAGTCCTCCAAAAGCTTATGTGTAACACAATACACAGATGCTCAGTGGTGAGATAATTGGGTTATAAGAATTTAACATAGTCTACCCAATCCATTTCCTGGATTAAAAATTTGAATTAATTAATAGGTGGTAACTGTAGGCAGATAGAGGAGGTAGGTCACTGGGAGTGTGTTCTTGGGAATTATACTATCCCTGACAACTTGCATTCTGTGTGTGTGTGTGTCTGTGTGTGCGTGCGCGCATACTTCCTGGTTGTCATATATGAGCAGTTTTCTTCCACTATATCCTTCTGCCATGAGGTTCTGCTGTACTTCAGTTCCAGACTATGGAGTTGACTGACCATGGACTGAACCTCTAAAACCATGAGCCAAAATAAACTTTTCTTTCTCTAAGTTGTTCTTGTCAGATCTTGGTCACAGCTACAAAAAGCTGACTAACATAGCAGTTAATAAGGGCCCCTAAATGGACTATCCACAAAGTTCATGGATTCAGTTCATCCTTAAAAGTTGCCCTGACATGAGTTGGGCACAGTGGAGCTCACCTCTAATCCCAGCAACTCAGGAGGCTGAAGCAGGAGAATTGTAAGTTCAGAGCCAGCCTTAGTAACTTCATTAGGTCCTAAGTAATTTAGCAAGATCCTGTCTCAAAATAAAAAGGGCTGAGGATGTAGCTCAGTGGCTAAATGCCCTTGGGTTCAATCTCTTGTACCAAACAAACAATTAAAAAAAAAAAAAAAAGGAGCAAGCTGCCCTGAACTATGACCTTGTTGCCCTTGACTCATTCTTCACAAGGACCTGCAGTAGGTCTGCATGGTGAACCCTTCTACAACTTTGTAACACAGACTCTAGCAGGCTACCCTTACAGCAAAAAGTTTTACTTGCCCTCAGGGAAGCCAAATCTCTTCTGAATTACATTTGCCAATTTGCAAGAACGGTTTCCTTCTCATAAGAACGGTTTGCATCCTAGAAGCTAAGATAATAATTGCTGTACTGGTTGATCACTTGGACCTCACTGCAGAATAGCCATCTTCAGTAAACTTCTAGTGAGAAACTCATTCAACTCAGCTGTGAAGATACACCATCATATGACAATTTCCTCCTCTTCTTGGAAATTTGCACCATCACATTGTTGTCACAAACCGTCAAAAGGAAAGGCTATTATTGAGTTTTGAGAGTTCTTTATGTAATCTGGATATAAATCCATCATTAAACATGAGCTTTGTAAAGATTTTCTTCCACTCTATGACCTGTTATCTGAAGTATTTTAGAAGAACAGTAGTTTTCAAATTTTGATGAAGCCTAATTTATCAGTTTTTTTTCCTTCAATAGTGTAATATATAAGAAATGTTTGTATAACCCAAGGAACTTCTATGTTTTCTTCTAGAAATTTCAGACTTTAGGATTTACACGTAGGTTTAAAATTCATTTTGAGTTAACCTTTGCACAAAGTATAAGTTATAAAACAAAGATTTTTTTTTGCAGATGAGCCAATGACTTAGGTTACTAAGGCAGGAGGATTGCAAATTCAAGACCAGCCTGAAGAACTTAGAGAGACCCTGTCTCAAAATTAAAAAAGGTTGGGAGTGAAGCTCAATGGTAGAGCTGTCCTGTGTTCAATCCCCAGCATCTCACACATACACACATACACATACACAAACAAGGGTGTTTTTTTTTTAGATGAATAATTATTCCAGTACCAATGGTTTAAAAGACTATTACTATTCTTTTCCTTTGAATTACCTTTACACCTTGGTTATGAAAATTAGATGACCACTTAGTGTGAGTGTACTTTTGAATTCTCTATTGATTGGTTCAACCTATTCCAACACCAAAATGTTTGGATTACTAGCTTTACTGTACTTTAAATCATGAAATTGGTACTGTTAGCCCTTTATAATTTGGTAGATAGATTTGGAGCAGTGCTCCATCTAAGGCTAATTATTTCTTACTACTGAAAGTACACCAAAGGTCACAAGAAACAGTATCTGCTCTCAGATAGTTCAGTTCTGCATGTCTCATGAATGGTTGTTCTTACTTTTTGTATCAACAACTGCTCCTCATAAAACTGTTATGTAAACTCTAAGTGGTGGTGAGAACACATTAGGTTTTCTTGTAAATTGCCTATTTTCTCTCATGGTTTATAAATCACACCCTCTGATCACCTGTTCCACATCTGTAAAACGAAGACTTTAATGACAAAAGCTGCATATCGGCTTTTGCTCTCAAAGTACTTTATATAGTTCCTCTCATTTAATTCTCACAACACCAGATCTTAGATGCAAGATAATCTTGCCCATTTCATTTAGATACTCGTAAGGATATGAATAAATTGGAACCGCTGTACTCTGCCAGTGGGGATGTAATTTAGGAGGTGTGGAAAACAATATGGCAGTTGGCCAAAAAGTTAAAACACAGAATTACCATATGCCCAGCAGTTTTACTCTTCAGTGTATACTCCAAAGAAATGAAAATTGTTATTCAAGCAAATACATGTAGACACATGTTCACAGCAGTACTACTGACGTTAGTTTAAAGACACAAATAGCCCAAATATCCATCAACTGATGAATGGATAAACAAACTGTGGTATATACACTTAGCACAGTATTATTTGACCATAGAAGAAATGAATTTCTGGTAGACACTACAAGAGGAATGAGACTCAAAAAATTATGTTAAGTGAAAAGGCCAACATGAAAGGTCATATATTATAAACTTTCATTTATATGAAATGTTTACAAAAGGTAGATACATAGAGATAAAAATGCAGATTGGTGGTTGTCAGGATGGTCAGAAGGACAAGAAAGCAACCACTTGCAAGGTAAAGAGTTTTCTTTTGGAGCAATGAAAACAATTTGGAACTACAGGTATTGGTTGCACAACACTCTAAATGTACTATCAGCTGCTGAATTGTTCCCTTTAAAATGGTTAATTTTATGTTAGTGAATATGAATTAAAAAAAAAAAAAAAACTTAGAGAAGTGGGATTGGTCACCCAGCGCTAAGATTCCACAAAACCAAATAACTGTGAAAGAAATTTGAACATGTAGTTGATTTTCACTTATCTCTAATAAATGGAAGACAGTAGTCACAGATAATCCCAACTGGCATACTTTTGGATAATCACTCTTTATAAAACCAAGCCATCCTATTATTATGAACAAATAAATAAATAGCAAATATTTAAATGCTTTCTATAATTTAACAGAAATACATTCTTTGAATATTGTTTTAAAGTACAGTTCATTTTGAAAATTTCACTTGGAGGTTCAGTGTTGCAAACTTTGGATATAAATTATGTTTGAGTATGTCCAACACTGCAATACCCACATCAGAGGGGTCAAAGATACAGAAAAAAAGAGCCAGGACCCAAGATTGCTGGGCTAAAATAAAAGGACTATCCTCCTCACCTTTGCCAGGCCAGAGAGGAGCTCTAGAGCTGCCAGTGATATGCTCATGTCTTGCCGCCACTGGGAATTGAGTCTTTGGGTGACGAGATGAATGCTGCGAATCAGGAGCCCAGCAGCTGAATCTGTATTAAGAGCTAGGATATAACCCCAATGCCACATCCCACAGGGAGGGAAAACAACTAAGCATTAGTAACGAGAAGCACAGCATTCCACCAGGCACAGACCACAGCAGTCACAGTGAGCACGACGGGCACCCACATAGCGCTATGTTCCCCACCCCGCTGGCCTGAGCTCCACGCCTGACAGACAGTGCACAGGGCACACAAGCTGGGTCAGGGCAGTTTCTAGTCCCAGCCCACAAACTTTCACACAGACAATCATGGGACCTGACAGTGTCAGTATCATCTTATAAAATGTTAAGTCTTAAAATTTCTAAATTAACAACACATAGAGTATTACATTTTCAAAAATAATAATGAAAAGGCCATCAAGTATTTTCTTGGAATTTTACAGGAAACATTCAACTTTTATAGCCCCCTCAGATGCTGGAAAATACTGTAAGGCATCTGTTAAAATTTCTTGCAGGGTTCAAACAATCAAAAATCACATGCAATGCCTTTTCAAACCCACTTTAACATTTAACTCTCTAAGACTACTTTAATACTTCTAAAAAAATTAAATAATCAAGCCACTACATTTGGCTTCCAATTTTATATTTAAAAGTAATTACTACTTAGCTAATAGTACCTTAGGAGAAATTAAAATTAGGACAAATTAAATTGAATTTACAAAGGAAGCTTTAGGGACATTATACCTGTCGATCCTATCAGAAAGAGGGCAGTGACAACAGAAAAAGGAATGATCATTAAAGAGAGACATTCATGCGACACTAACACAAATCCGGATTTCTTAGTAAAAATATTTTATGACATTACAAGCAGAGATCACTAACACCAGTTCAAAATGCTGAAACAAACAATAATCACTTCAAACATTTATATTAGAACACATGCAGTAAAGCAAAAATATCTTTTAAGTTATTTTAGAAAGCATGAAAAATAAACAAAATTTCAATGTAGAGTATACCTAGATCTACATACACAATATTTGATTGTACTGAATATCCAAATAATGACTTTATGTATCTGACATGCTCAAGGATACTTATTGTAAACAAATCACAGAAACATGTCCCATGAACTCATGACTCTAGCTCATGAATTTTCCAGATGATTATAAAACTAAACTCACATCCAAGAAACTAAATATAATCCTAATCTTGTTGGATGAACACTCACAGATTCAATACACTGTTAGTATTTGTGTGTAGAACCATAAAGTTATATACCACAAATTCACTGAATCTATAAAGTAACTGCCAAGATAAAGGACATGGAAAAAATAGGATGCTCTGCTGGCAAATGTAGAATTTGGAAAGGCAAAAATGTTTCCTTACCCTTGCTTAAAATTTGTGACCAATGTACTTAAACTAGGGTACGTAAGTTTTCCCACTACTGCATGCTCCATCACTTCCCTTACCACACTGCAGTAACAGATGGACTAGACATCTCTGCCATTAGCATGTGAGATCTCAGGCAGGGCCCATATCTTGACCCTGTATCACCAGCACATGGACAGAATCCCGATCACGCATTATAATCGTCTATGAAATCTAATGAACTATTCCGAATACAACCACTAAAAGCTGTATAAGTTATTTGTTTTTTAGACTAGTATCCTCTTTCTTATACTTATGTACATAACATTTTATATTTTAGTTGTTTGTTTTAAAAATCTGAATATTTAAATTTTGTTTTAGTTTTTCTTAAATAAATCTAAGAATTAAAGAAATTCTGTAAAATTCCGACTAAAAAACAAAATAGCTTACCATAATCCCTCAGGAGAGCTTGAGCAGGTCTCTCACTGTCAGGAGTTGTGGGCTCTGTGCTTCCACCACTTGCTGAACTAATACCACTATTAGTGCGACTATGACTCTTCAGGTTATTTTCTCCACCACCCTAGTCAAATGAACATCAGTCAAGTATTTGGGGATTCCATCAGAGTTTACAGGTATAAAAAGAGATTAATTATTAAAAACTCTATTGATAAAATGGAATGTGACAACAAACAGCACAAATGATGAGGGAATTAAAACTGCTGTGGCATTTCTGCACAGACACCATCTGCTAAAGAGTATGAAGGGTTTGACAGCTTGACAGCATTCAGTTTGACAGAAATGCTTTTTTGCTGCTGTTTACAAAGGGCCAGTCTTAGACCTTTTTCATCTTCACTAGACCTTGCTAGCTAATGACTTTAGGTCCTTAAAGATAACACTCTACATGCCTCCCAAGCAAAACTTCAAAATAGGAATATAATCTTAAAACAAACAAAACAACACTTGAGCAAAGAGCAGCAACTTTCAAATTATATTATAAACCAAAAATAATAGATTTCCTTCACTTTTTCCCATACAAATATAATTCATTATATCCAAATAAGTAAATTTTTTTTCATATTTTACTACTGGGTCAGTAAATTATTATTAAACATCTACTGAGACATGAATGTAATTTCCCTGATAATAATTTGATCATCCGCCTATATCCACCCAGCTCACCCCAGTATACTCTATTAATTCCTCTACTCCCCAGCCTCTATTCCAGTATAAGGATCATACGATTTGAAGAGGGAAACAAGAGGTACTGAAAATCTCTGGGAAGTTTTTTTGATTTAAAACATTAGTACTCTGGGGGACCTGTAAACTTTGATCCGCAGGAACTATAAAGAGATTATAAACAGTTCTTACACAATTAAAATTTTTAAAAATGAAAAAAGTAAAAGACAAAAATAAATAAATAAATAGTTCTTACATTTAGGTCAATTAGGGATAGCAAAAATTATGGAGTAGGAGGCCTTTCCTAGATTATTTAAGCTGCTTAATCACAATAGCAAAACAAGTAAGAGCTTTAAATAGGTACTTTCCAGGAATAAAAACTAGATTTAGCTGGAGTTTCTGTCATGCAGAATGACAGACCAAAAGGTAAGAAAACATAAAAATATGATATTTTAAAATATGATCTTTCTAACTCAATGAGCTGCATTTACAAACAAAATACCTTTAAAATTACAAGGACAGATATTCTGGAAGGTAATTTAGAGAAAATCAGAAGTTAATCATCTCTGATAAGATTACATGTTGTAAAGAAATATATATTACATGTTGTGTATTTCTTACCATCTCCATTTGGCAACCAATGGCTTCTAAGAGTGCAGAATCTTGAACAATATTTAACATTGCCCCTGCAATAGAAAAAAGTATTTTATATAAAATAGGTGATAAGAACACTAAAATGGCTCATATGATTAAGAGCAGAGATAAGAACATGATTTTGGCTGCACTTCCTAAACTTCTTCAAAAATTACTAATAAATCTGTTGACTGGTCAGTAAAGATAAGAAGAAATCACCCAATTCTGATTTGCCCCCAAAGTTTTAAAATCCTTTTTTTCCTAAAATTAATTCAAAAATCAAAACTTTTCTTTGTATAAAGACATGCCTACTGTCAGATGTTTTATAACTGTCATGAAAGGGCAGGTGCTAGCATCTCAATTACCATCTTCAAGGGTAATACAAACTAAGAAAAATATGGAATTTTTAAAATCTTTTTTTTATTAGCTACACATGACATTACAATGAATATGGAATATTTTTAAAACCAGGTTGTGGTTTTTAAATATAGGTTTCTATAGATGGGTAAGAAACTTAGAGTTTACTCTAAGTGTAATGGGCAGCCAGTGGCACGGAGACTGGCCTTATCTAGCTTATCCTTTAGAACAATGATTCCAGATTCAGTGGTGAAGATACATCTAGCAGGACATGAAAGGAAGCAGAGAGACCAGGCAGAAGGCTCTGATAATTAAATTATGTAATTAAAATATGATAAGCTCAGTTACAGTTTCTAGGAGTGAGATGGTAAGATTGATTGGGATGTATTTTGAAAATAGTATGGACAGAAGAAGACCTAGATGTGTAGTAATGAGGAAAAGTGAAAAATTAAAGACAGGCGAGTCTTAATTGAGTAATGAGGTATAACAGAGGAAGTCATTTACTAAAATGAGTAAGCAGACTGGTGAGGAACAGATTTACGGCAAAGATGTGAGAGGTAGGCAAGATAGGCCCGAGTTGCCTATCTTTCAGATATATAGGTGCTGATGTTAAGGAGGCAGCTAGGAACATACTGAATTGAAAGGATATATTTAGGCTGAAGAATGTGTGCGTGTGTGCGTGTGTGCATGTGTGTATGTGATAGTGATATATATATCATATATCATATATATATATATATATGAGATATGAGATATTTGAAGCTATAGGATTAATGAGACCACCTAGAATAAGAGGGGCAAGGACAGAGCTTTAGGGTTTCCAACTTAGTTCACTGGTAGTAGAAAAAGAGCTAGCAAAGGACACAGAGAAGGAAGATAAAATTAAATATAAAGATAAAATTAAAACCAGGTTAGTATGATATGATAGGGGTTACAAGAAAAAAGTGTTACTAGAAGGAGACAGTGGTCAATCAAGCCAAGTGCTGGTAAGATTATGACAGCAACTTGATCATCAATTCTGGCAAGATGGAGATCTTTGCGAACTTTGATATAAATCGATTCAGAGGAATCGTCGGGACAAAAGCCTTACCATAGTGATCTAAACAAAAAACATGAGAGGCCAAGAAAATTGGGTACAGAAAACCAGTTTTGATTTCAAAGGTAGAAGAGAATGGGGGAACAGCTAGAAGAGGTAAGGCATCCAGGGAGAATAACAGGGCATATTTGTATGCCACTATAAATAATCTAGTGAAAGGGGAGAAACTGATCAGATAGGAAAGAAGGTGAGAGTAGTAGCACTTGAGAGTAGCCTTGAGAAGGTGAGAGCAGCATTTAGGACACAAGTGAAGTGACACTCCAGCAAACTGAAGCTACGTCTGTCTATATCCCTACTACCTGCGCCTTTGCTCTCTTCACTATGGCTACACTGGCATCCTCACTTGGCCCAAACACAGGCTGCTTCCAGATTGTTTGCCACTGCTTTTCCCTCTGTTTGGCATCCTCTTCATCCCAGGTATCTGCATGACACTCTATCTCTAACTGAACAGCCCCCTCTGATCTGCCATGTGGCACTCACACACAACTGCCCTTCTCAATCTCCATTCGCTACTATGTTTTCCCTTCCCACGTAATACACGATCTTATTTATTGTTTGCTCCTTGTCCTCACTAGAATGATTTTTGTTTATTTTGTTCCCTGCTGGATCCCAGAGTCAAGGATGGTGCACGGCACATAAAACATAACAGAACTCAAGGATTTGTAATGAAAAAACAAAGAATAAATTTTGGATATGTTGCAGGTAGTTGGTAGAAATAATGAATATGAGATAATTCTCTCTCTTATTTGAAACAGGGTCTCACTAAGTTAGAACTGGCCTTGAACTCACTACTTTCCTGCCTTAGCTTCCTATACATGCATACGCCACTACATCCAGCTTGAGCAAATTCTCATCCAATGCATTTTTGCTGAAATAAGCAGCAAGGTCATTAGCTAAGTGTAAGAAATAAGCAAAAGACTGGAGATGAGGTGAGACAAATAGAACAGTGAATTTACTCAGGAAATGTGGTAAAACTATCAAAGTTAAGAGCTACCTGAGATTTATAGTCATAAATCTGAGAAGGCTAGTCAGAAAGCCCTATTCTGATTATTTTCCTCTAGGACTGTTCAACCACTAAGGTACTAATGTGAAATAAACAGGCAGTTAAGCAGAGTTGAAGTTTATAAATGTTAAGGGACATGGAATCTAAGCTGGGTAAGGAGGAAAGAGGTGAAGTGAGAGACAGTGGAAAAGAGAAGGGCCAATGGATTAAAGGCTGAAGCAGGAGGTGGCATGCCCTTTCCATAAAAGGCTAGGAAGTAAATATTTCAGACTGTGTACCATATAGTCTCTGTTACAATCATTCAATTTTCCTATTGTATCACAAAAGCAGCCACAGACAAAACAAGTACTACTGTGTTCCAATAAACTCTACTACAAAAATAGCAGCCCAAGCCTACATTTTGGGAGCAAATTTTTACCACATACACATCAGATAGAGCACTAATCTCTAGGATATATAAAGAACTCAAAAATCTTAACACCAAAAAAAAAAAAACAAAGAACCCAATCAATAAATAGGCCAGGGAACTGAACAGACAATTCTCAGAAGATGTTATACAATCAATCAACAAATATATGAAAAAAATGTTCAACTTCTCGAGCAATTAGAGAAATGCAAATCAAAACTATTCTAAGATTTCATCTCACTCCAGTCAGAATGGCAGCTATTAAGAATATAAACAACAATAAGTGTTGGCGAGGATGCAGGGGAAGAAGGCACACTCATACATTGCTGGTGGGACTGCAAATTGGTGTAGCCAATATGGAAAGCAGTATGGAGAATCCTTGGGAAACTGGGAATGGAACCACCATTTGACCCAGCTATCCTACTCCTCAGTCTATACCCAAAGAACTTAAAAACAGCATACTACAGTGACATAGCCACATCAATGTTTATAGCAGTCAATTCACAATAGCTAAATTGTGATGCCCTTAGATGCCCCTCAATAGATGAGTGGATAAAGAAAATGTGTTATATATACACAATGAAATATTACTCAGCATTAAAAGAGAATAAAATTATGGCATTTTCAGGTAAATGGATGGAGTTGAACAATATTATGCTAAGTGAAGTTAGCCAATCGCAAAAAAACAAATGCCGAATGTTTTCTCTGATATAAGGATACTGATTCATAATGGGGTTGGTGGGGGAGCATGGGAGGATTAGATGAACTCTATATAGGGCAAAGGGGTGGGAGGGGCGTGGGGGTAGAGAAGACAGTAGAATGACATGGACATCATTACCCTAAGTACATGTATGAAGACACGAATATTGTGACTCTACTTTGTGTACAACCAGAGATATGAAAAATTGTGCTCTATATGTAATGCATTCTGCTTTCATATATAACAAATTAGAATAAATTTTAAAAAAATAGCAGCCCAGATTTGGCCCATGAGCTGTAGTTTGCTAATCCCTGTGAGAGAAAATTGCCAGTGTTTGAGTAAAGTGCACAAAATGAAAGGATAGAGGGCAATAAGAAATGGAACATTTGAAATCAAGAAAGCAATGATTTAGTTTTCAATGATGTAAGATCTAGAATAGGATCATGGCAGACACGGTGGTGGCACAATCTGTAATCCTAGTGATTTGGGAAGCTGTTACCTCTTAGGAGGATCCCAAGCCTAAGCAACTTAGCATGACCCTGTCTCAAAATAAATTAAAAAGGCCTGAGGTTATAACACAATGGTAGAGCACCCCTGGCTTCAATTCCCAGTACTTAAAAAAAAAAAAATCCAGAATATAATCATAGGAAAATGGTTGGAATAGGGAAAGAGGAAAGATCAATGGTACTAAGGAGGACAAGGAACTAAGATGAATGTTGGTTTTATGTGACCATTGTTTATGTCTAGCTAGAGGAGAATGATGGTATCAGAATGGTCTAGGATAAGAATAAGTACTGGGCAGTCTATTCAGAGTGTTCCTAATGGCCCAAGGCAGAGTCCACTTCTAATGCCCAAAGGGTCACAGCTCAATCATAACAATAGCCATTTTTGCACTGGACTACACATTTTATACATTGTTTTATTTCTGACAATTCCCTGCATGATAAACACTGTATTTCCCACATCCTGGCTCAAATTTTTTTCTATCAGATAAAATTTATGTGCAACTGCAAAATACACAATTTAAGTGGCAGAATTCTCTTACTTTGTATTTTTCTCCTTTCCTTTTTTCCAACTGTCTAAAACTTTGTCAACAATAATAAAAAAGAGGGTATGTAAGAACCTCTGTTCATTCAACTCCTTTCCAAAATGACTGACTCTTTCCTATTTATTCTACCTTTTCAGTGCCTAATGTACTAGATTTTCTGAGTACTCTCTCCCTCCACTCCTGCCATCAACAAAATGAGTTGGCCACATCATTTCCTGTCTTGGAATTAAAACCATATTTCTGCCTATGTAAGTCCTGACCTTCAAGACATAATCTGACCCCCATTTCCCTCTATTATATCTTCTCTGTCCTTTTGAGTTCCTCTCTCTCAATACCAGAGGCATGGTAAGAAATGGGTATAGTCATCAAATGGAGAAGTAAAAAGGATCTAAAATATGAATCCTCATGGCAGTGGCCATAATAATGTGAAGCCATCTAAGACAGATTTAGTACAATTCAGAGACAACAGGAAACAACAGGGAAAAGGGAAGATGCCCAACAAGAGCTACTCCACAATTTCTTCCCAGCAGGGTTCTGCTTGGCTTCCAACCCTGAATTTTTTCACATGTAAGTAATGGGAAGGAGGAAGAGAAAGAAGAAAAAAGAAGGAAGAAGAAGAAAGAGAGAAGGAGAGAAACAGGGAGAAAGAAAAATACAAAGCACAAATGACCAACCAAGATGACTGAAAGGCTTTCCTTCCCTCATCTAAACTTTTTAAATATTTTTATATCAAAAAGCAAATAAACTCTGCCTCTGATTCAGAATAATAAGTAGAACTGCATTAGGCTTAGCTTCCTATCATTGACTTCTGCTTCCTAAATGTGCTTAGGATCAACTGCACCCGGGATTGCACTTTAAAAAAAATACGTGAACACAAACCTAGTATCATTTGGGTGTTGTTGGGGTCCGTTTCCGTTTGCAAGGCACCTATTAGTATATTCACAAGTCTCAACTTCAGGGACAGAAAAGTTATCGGTTTATCATAAGAAGAGCTGTCATCATTACTAAACTTTCCTTCCAGGACCACCTATGGAAAAAACAAGCAATATTTAACATCAGCTGTTATATGTATTATGTCTGTCTAGAGAAGACAAAAAGATCATTGAGCAAGGCTTGCAATCTAATGCTAGCCACTGTGCTAAGTTTGTCAATAATTCCCTTGATAGATGTTGTCAGATTTTATTAACCTATAACCACTTGAAATGTAGGCCACAGCATGCTGGCAGTCCTACACAAGAAACATCAGAACAAAATACCTTCAGTAATTTACGTGAATTAACTTGAGGCATTTGTTTTGTTTTTTTAAAGCCCCTGTTCCACTTTTTAAATATAGTCTGACTTAAATCAGCACACAACACAATATAGAATATAAAAAACTCTAATAAAGTGTTACCTCAGATTTGACTGTGCCAAAATGATGAGGGAGGGGCAACAAAGAAAGTAGGATGTTAATGGAGGATCTTCTTAGTTCTGTTGGATTTACATAGCTTTTGAATTTTGAGAGTTCTCTGCCAAAAAATAAAAAGCTATTAGCATTTTTTAACTAAAGTGCATTATTAGCAACTGCTAAATATATATTATGCCAGTTTTTCACAATCGTGTGTGTGAATGTGTACTTCTATGTTAAACAGTTATTAAACTAGAATTTAACTGATTGGCTGATTTCTTTATTTAAAATGTAAAGCCTGTTCTACAAAGATAGGACCTCTGGCTGGGTTTGCTCTGATCCTTCAAGACCAAGCCAAAAAGGATTTAACAGACCATGGATAAATCAGAATTGGAAGCATCTAGGAAGGAGATGGGTTTGATGCTCTATACTCATTTAACTGACCAGCATCTCCTTGGACTATGAAGATAACTGAACAGGATAAATTAAGAAACAGAAGGAAACACCAAACCAGACAACTAATATAGTAGTAGAGAATGACAGCTTACCTGTCAGGCAAAATGGTTTCAAGAGCTGAAATAAAGTAAGGAACCACAACATCAATCCCTTTCAAGTCACAGCAGAACAAAGGAGGGGAGTTTAGAATAACGCTGGCCAAGACAGGATGGCATATATAATCATTTATCTGCAAACCTTGAATTAAAAGCATGTAAAATCTAGGGAAGCAAGAAAGAAATTTTAAACAAACTGCTGATCAAAGGTTTTCATAATTATTAATATTTTTTACATAATCATCTGAAAGTCTTTTTCCACTCTTTACTATTTCTATCCTTTAAAAGGTATTAACTAGAACACAAACAATTCAAAATCACATATACTTAAGAGCCAAATAATCTTTCCCATAGAAGAAAAAAAGATTCATATCTATTATCCCTTCTTACAGTTATAAACCTTGTAACTCAAAGTCATAGGTGCTTGCAAATAAGGCAACAAAACAAAATAAAACAAATGACTAAAGTATGTGTCAACAAACTAGTGGAATTACTAAATCAAATTCCATGGCAGTGAAATTCCAGCTTCTCATAGTTCTTGGGAAGTAAATATATGTTTGTATCATTCCCCTATCCTTCATTTTTCTAGGGGAATAATGAAAGAAGAAACCTCATTAAAGCCTGCACTCATCATGACGGTCATTCTGAATAAGATTCCTTTTAGGATATACCTAAATATATCTTACTTTTACTCCATCCCAAGCCCTAATCAACTCACTAAGTCCTCAATCTCTTGTCATTTAAGAGCAACTATATCAGTACACTCTTTGACTACTGTGAGGCATTTTCCTCTTCTCTGCAAAACTTTGGAAACAACTTCCTCATCTACTTGCTCAAGCCAGTGCAATCTAACTTCTTTCCCTAGTACCAAAATAAAACCATACTAGCAAGGAATCAATGGCCTCTCAACTGCCAAATCCAGGAGACATGTTTAAGTCTTCACTTCCTCCACCTTTTGAAATCATTCAATCCCTAATTGCTCCTTTTTCTTCTGACCTCTAAAGCTATTTCCTTTGGAAGATTCTCTTCTAGCTGCCCCTAAGAGTAGCAGTCCTAACTATTCTACCAATACCAGTTCTCTAAACTCTCTTCTACTAGCCCAACTTTAAGTGCTTTGTAAGCCACTGATTGTAATCAGATCAGGTCTAGCCTACAACTCCCAAATTAGCTCCAGATCTATCAGCCAAAATCTTACTGGATATCCAAGCACAGAACAAGTCTATTCCTATGCATAATATCTGGCAAAAAGTAGGGACTTAATATATATTATTTGTTGATAAATATCCCACAGGATATTTTTCAAATTTCTAGGTTCAAAACTAAATTTATCATCTGTCTTTTCACAAATCTACTACCATCATCCAGTTTACAGGCCAAACAGAAAGCTCATGGTCATAGCATTCCCCCTTTACTGCTATTGATACCATTTAGGACACCTCTCCATTTCATGGTCTCTCTTCTGAGAAATGGGAACCCCACCAGAGGAGGTGAGCCCCAGCACCCTTGCAGATATAGCTGAATGTACCAGACATAGACATCTATTTAATCAGATCCTCTTTCCCATGAACCTGAAATTGAGAGATGCTAATTAACTGCTATAAACCTAGACCAAGGTTATGGAAATTGGGAAGCATCCTACATTATAAGAATATGATCTGCAGAGAACAGAAAAATGAAGTAGTTCCTAAAGACTGTGAAGACTTGAACACTTTATAGTCCTTGGTTCTTGCTCTTTGTAAGGCCTTGCTGTACTTCCTGATCTCGAGTTTAACAAGTATCACTAGCTTCTCATAACTCTCCCTTTTGCTTAAATCAGATTGAGAGGGTTTTTGCTTAGAGCTCAAAGCCAATGATACCCATAGGTAGTTTCTTGCTTTTTCATGCCGAATTTTCTGTACTTGATTCCCTTTGACAGAATCAGTTTAATTCTTTCTAGCAGGTACACAGATATCTAAAGGCTCTAGTTGATATTAACCTCACTCCAGCAGCTGTGTGAGTCATCAGCTAAGGAAAGCAAAGCACAGTCAAGAAAAAGAGGAGGCTATTATAAGTTCATTTAGGAGAAAAGTGACAAAATCTGAAGTGTCATGGTAGGGAAAAAAGTGTCATGGTAGGGAAAAGAGTGGAGAAAGAGATTAGAAAGGCACAAGAGCTGAAAGGCAGGAGGAATAACTTAAGATACATAGGGAAAAGAGTTTGAAATGACTCCTACTTCCTGGCCTGAGCAGCTGAATGAATGGCAAAGCCATTCACAAAGACAAATGGAGCCAGAGATTTGGATAAGGTGATTCAACCCAATTTCCTAGCAGTCTAAATACTGTTTATTCTTTGTAAGTCCAGCATGATCATCAGTCTTCCAAAACTCAGTTTCAGTTTCCTGAGCTCCCTAGGGTAAATATGTATTGCTTCTACCTCTGAATGCCCACAGTCTTTACCTGCGCCTCTCTCCTATCAAACTTCCTTTTCCTATTGAATCACTGTTACTTGTTTATACAGCCTTGTTCACTCCAGAAAATAAGCTCCTTGAAGAAAGAATTTACAGCTGACTTACTTCTGAACTGTCTACAGTATCTAACACCATGTTAAAAACTTGTTAGCAAATCATGGTGGTCCTTCTAAACTTCTCCATACAACTCAAATAAAATAACATTTCTAAAATCAAGATTCTTAGAGGTCTTTATCAAAACTGATGAGGCAAGTAAAGTGGAAGAATTCAAGCAAATTTTAATTACATGCACACATTTGCAGGTATTTTAGAACTTCATTTACTTATCAATTCAGCCTACCAAAATGCTACAACAAAGTTTCACTTCAAAACTATATATGTAGACAGAAAATAAACAAACAAAAAAATTCTAAGACCTGGATAAATAAGCTGGCAGAATCTCTTCTCCAGTCTTCTTGCTACAAAAAATTCTACACAGTGTCCCACATGCCTCAGCTCTTCCTGCTTCATAGTTATCAGGAAATTCACTTGCATCAAACATAGGATTGGTAACCATGGTGTCTGTGGACATTTGTGACCCTTTCCGTCGAAACTCCATGCTAGCTTGTGTTGTAATGGCTGGGGAGAGAAAAGGAGGGTTTTATTATATTTATCAACATGCCAAATAGGCTCATGGGACCCTGGACACAAAGATCAAATATTGGTGTCATTAAATAGCTACTTGAATAGAATCCAATAATGTTTTTTATTTTTTTTCAGCAACTATGTCTTAATTTTTTTTAAAGGGCTCTCTTAAAATCTTCCTTGAAAATAGGTAACAATTAATTTTATGGTGGCATTGTCAGTTTAACAGATTCTACAAAAAGCATTTTCAACTGATTTTTGGTCAGAGAATACATTTGTATATATCTGTATCACATACAGACATTTAAAAAGAATTTGGCTTTTCTATTATTTATTTTCTATTCTTTCCTCTCCCTATGGAATGATGCTCAATTAAACATTAAGAAAAAAAGTTACTTCAATTTATATATTAACCCAGATGGACATCCTAATTACAGGGGCAACCCCATGACAGTTTGTATACTTTAGGGAGGGCAAAGTAAGAATGAGAAAAGGGGTAGGGAGGAAGAGAGAGCATTCCCACCGTCCACCCAACTCCAAAACACACATCAAAGAATTGCCCAACCAAGCAAAATGAAAATGAATTTTAACAACCACAGACAGCAACTAACTTGAGGTTGATAAATCAGAAAATTGGATTGATAAGAAAGATTATCATGGTCATTCGTTGTCACTGAAACAGAAGCCCTTCGAAAGTTGCTTTTATTTTTGCCAAAAGATTTCATAGTGTATTGAAATATCACTCTGAAACCTTTTATTACTCTACATAAAGTGTTTAAATTATTTTGTAATAATAGGCTTAATAGAATGCAGAGTCAAGCATAAATCTTTATGCAACTTCCCATGAGCCATTTTTAGACCTGAATAAGCTATCCAGCAATAATACATTTGAAAAACACTACATGCAGAATGCATACAAATCAAACACTAAATCTGTATAAAAATAAGCTTACAGCTTAAAAAAAAAAAAAAAAAAAAAGCCAAAACACAGTTAGTGCAAAGTCCTGGAATTCATGACATGACCAGACTAGTATACAGAAATAATGGGACTGATTCAGGCAGATTAATTTGCTTTTGCCAACAATCTTCCCCATTCAAAACACAGAAAAGTATTTTTCTTCCCAAGTGCAAAAACTACAAGAGACAATGACAATCAAAATTTTTAATGGAATTATGAAAAAAATAAAAACATGACTGCAATTAAGGAGAAGCTTCTGGTTCCTACTTACAAGATTTATAAGAAAGAAGAATTTGGATAAAAGATGCTGCAAGATAATAGAAATAAATGGAAACAAATCAAAGGACAGCAGTAATTATAGAATACTTTAAAGATGGTGAAATTTTACAATAAGTTAAGAAGCTTTTTAGCTTTCAAAAAGTTAAATTTAAAGATTTACAATACCACAAGCTAGTTCAAAAACATAGGAAATTGTGCATTCAGATCCAAAATTATGATTTTTTTGTATCATGCAAAACAATGAACAAAGGAAATCACACAACTACAAAGAATTGAGGTTTTGAACTGTGCAAAACGTGCATTAAAAATTATAGTTCATTAACCCTTCCCAGCTCAATGTTACTTTTACAAGCACAGTGATAAATCTAAGTAAATCAGGTAAATCTAAAGTTAACCAGTGCAAAGAAGCAAACACTTTAAGTTAAAGGTGAACTGCATGGCGGAATTCCTTGATGGCAGCCAGTACTTTAGAAAACAGTTAAGTATATCCAAGCCCCCCACCACCCACCAACACCTGGAGACTGGCACCCAGTGGTACTCCACAACCCCTCCAACTATTTGGACATCTCATATCTCCTGGGTAATGTAACAGCTTTATCATCTCTGAACACAGTTAGGAGGAGAACAGCTTCTATCCTTTCTCCACCAGTGAAAATGTTAAAAGAAGCTGCTCACATATGAACTGATTTCTACCTTTTGGTACAAGAGAGTGAGCAAAGCTGTTACAAATGCCCTAGAGATAGAAAAGTTTCCTTTAAGCAAGCCCTCTAACAACGTCGCATGTTGAGCCGTGCTACTTTCAGGGATTTCAGTGTCAACAGCTCTAAACCCAAGTTACATTGTAAGAATTACATCTCAACAAAAATTTGTAAAATGACTGACTACACAATACCATAAAAATTAAGAAACATGGTTCGGGAAACTCAAGATATAAGGCACATAAACATAAAGCAAACAGAACCCAAAGTAAATTTAAATTATTTTTCACTTAGTCATAAGTAAGCACATTTATTTATCCATAAGTAAACCCTACTTTCAAACTTGTGAATAAAATTATAATATGGAAATGATAGAATACAAAGCCTAAATTTGAACAAAATAAATTAGGCAAAGGAATCCCTCAATTCACTCACACAATCTCAAATTATATTCCTGAAAAATCTTTAAATTTTTTAAAATTATTTAAAAAGTTTGTTAAGTATCTCCAAAATAATCATAAGTATACACTATTCATAGACACAGACCTTCACCTCCAGATGATACATAATAGCTATCAATGTATTTTTGAGAGAAAACAGAAACCCTTATGGCCATTATATTAGTCTTATCCTGGAATTAATGTTCTCCTTAGAGATGCAAAAACCAATGCAATCAGGCATCTTTTTTTAAAATTTCAAATCATTTCCAACCCCAGTGGAAAAGGGCTTTCTTACTGAATAACCAAACACTTATGAATACATACTCATAGTGTTAGCAGATAGTAATAGCAGCTCAATAAATGCCAGTTATTATTGTACAAGATATATCATAAATATTCAAAATATTCTGCACTAACGTACTCATTCATCCTGAACCCTATGCTACTACTTCCAAGTGTAATGGTAAGATGACAAAAAAAAAAACTATATTTTATCTAGACAGTTTAATTTCTATAATAAGATCTAAATGAAGAATATCAGGGTTATTAATTCTCTACCAGTCTTAAATTATGGAGCAGATCACTCTTTTTGAAAACATACACTTGAAAGAATGTTCTCAAGACTAAAACCTGAGTGGTTCAAGTCTACTGTGAAGCAGAAATTTTCTGATATTTATATATACTAATGATTGAATGGCTGTCAAAAATCTAAGAAAACACTTCTTTGAGTAAATTTCAAGTCAAAATCTTTAACTCTTCACATAAATATTATTATCCTGGCTGACATGAAGGGAACTTCCAAGTCACCTACTGAAAGGAATTTGATTAAAAAAAAGTGGCTAACCTGAAGTGTGTCTAAAAAAAAGGCCAAACCTCACAGAACATATATAAAAAAGACAATGGGAAAACTTCCAAAGTTTCTATTACTTCAGCTGGAAGGGGTTAAGTACAGATACTGCTTGGTCAGAAACAGACTGCTTTTCAAGATACATATTAATCTTGCAGGTAGGAAAGATAAAAAAGAAAAAAAAAAGGAAAGGGAAAAAATGATAACATATTTCTTGAGCAATATTTACCAGTCATGCTGCTGTCTCTGTTTATCCCATTATGAAGTTTACAGTGAACAAATGCTGCGTCAAATAACCATGATCCAAAGAGATTCAAGATGCTGTTAACCTTTGGTCTCCTAGGGGCAGGCAATGGCCGGGGTTCTGAACTAGTCTGATTTGGACTTGACAGAGGAGAGGTTGAGGATGTCTGATGCTGGACTTTTGAGGCATGAGCAGTACTGACCTATTGGAAGAACATAAGAATATACCCACACCCATGAAAAGCGTGAGAAAATGGCAGGTCTTTTTTAAAAGAATGGCAGATTTAAAAGTCAACTTTATATAACATAACAATGGTGATGGAAATTCTTACTGTGCTTGTCTTCATGGTGGCCTTATTCACAGTAACAGCCCGGTGCCTCCGGTTATGTGGTGGGGTGGTATTGACAGCAGTACTTTGAGGCATGCTTAATCTATTCACAGGTGTTGGAGGAGCACTGTCTGATCGAGGTCTAGAAATGCCTTAAAAAAAAAAATGGAATTATTCCTCAGAGTTCAAAGTATGTGATCAATGGTAGAGCACTTGCCTAGCATGTGTGAAGCCACTGGTTCATACCCTAGCACTAACAAACAAACAAACAAACAAAACTATGTGATCAAAAATCTGCAAATAACACTTGTGAAGGTTCGGGACACTGTAGCAGAGACTGCTAGTTGCCTCCATTCATCGTTTCTTCCTGAGTAATAGAATACCAATTTAGCTGGACAGAGCTATCCACAATAAATGACTACATTTTCAAGCTTCCCTCGCAGCTAGATGTGGCCATGTTCTAACCACAGAGAAGTAGGAACCTGTTAAGCAAGTCTTCCAAGAAATCTCCTTAAAAGGACATCAGGTACAGACTCTCCTTCCTTCTTCATTCTTGGACAGTATAGTTGGAACTCACTCAATAATTATGGCCCATCAGGCAGTGCACAAAGGATCAAGAGCCACCAGGCAGAAGGGCCTTCAATCCCTAACTGTGCTAGAACTACTACTACAGCCCTGAAGTGCCTATCCCTGATTTTACATGTATGAAAATAAACTACTGTATTTAAACCATTAGAATTGCTGGTGTTATTTTGCAGCTAAGCTTAATCAGAACTACTCTATTAACTGTGTAATATAATCACAAGTACATATAACAAGTGTTTTAGAACATAACAGCTATTAAATATCACTGCTTTTCAATGGGTTAAAAAATCTTGACTTTTCATAAATACAAAATGTGAAAAACACTTTAAAACAGTGGGTCACAATAATAAAATAAATAAAATTTTTAAAAATGGGCTTGGGATATAGCTTAGTGATAGTGCTTGCCTACCATGTGTAAAGACCTGGTTTCA